CGCCGTCAAGTTGAATGGTAGCCGCATCCCAGTCCGCAACTTCAAGAAGTACATGGAAATGTACACCAAGGCCATCCGCCGGGAACGGGGCGAAGAGGACGCCAACGCCAAGGACGAAATTATCACCTGCAGTCCAGACCCTCACTGGGAAGTCGGATTTACAGTCTCGGACGGCTCGTTCCATCAGGTGTCCTTTGTTAATTCCATTGCTACCACCTCGGGAGGAACCCACGTTAACTACATTGCGGATCAAATCTGTACCAGGTTGGCCGACCAAGTCAAGAAGAAGAACAAGAACGGAGCGACGCTGAAGCCCGCCCAAATTCGAAACCACATCTTCATCTTTGTGAACGCTCTGATCGTGAACCCGGCCTTCACCTCCCAGACCAAGGAGCAGCTGACAACAAAGTCGAGCCAGTTCGGCAGCAAATGTGTTCTTGAAGAGGACTTCTACAAGAAGATCCTGAAGACTGAAGTCATGAACAACATCCTACACTTTGCGCAAGCCAAGGCAGATCAGTTGTTAAAGAAAACGGATGGCGGTCGTCGCACCCGGATGAACAACCCCAAATTGGTCGATGCCAACAAGGCTGGTACCAAGGATGGTCACCACTGCACTCTCATCTTGACCGAAGGTGACTCGGCCAAGGGTCTTGCCATGGCTGGGCGAGCGGTCGTCGGACCCGACCTTTTCGGTGTCTTCCCCTTGCGGGGAAAGTTGCTCAATGTCCGTGATGCCTCGTTTGAGCAAATTTCGAAGAACCAGGAAATCCAAAATATCAAGAACTTCCTTGGTCTACAGCACAAAAAGGAATACACTGATACCCGCGGTCTGCGCTACGGCCATTTGATGATCATGACCGATCAGGATCATGACGGAAGTCATATCAAAGGCTTGCTCATCAACTTCCTTCAGGCTCAATTTCCTAGTCTGCTGAAGATCCCAGAGTTCTTGATTGAGTTCATCACTCCCATTGTCAAGGTTTGGAAGGGCGATCCCAAGAACCCTACCAAGCAACGCTCTTTCTTCACCATGCCCGAGTATGAGGCCTGGAAAGAGGAGCACAGGCATGAACGCGGCTGGGAACACAAGTACTACAAGGGTCTGGGTACAAGCACGACCGAAGATGCCCAGGTCTACTTCCGTGACCTTGACCGCCATCTGAAGGAGTTCCATACCATGCAGGATCACGAGACGGAGCTCATTGAGCTTGCCTTCTCGAAGAAGAAGGCGGACGAGCGAAAGGAATGGCTGCGCCAGTTCAAGCCTGGAACCTTTCTGGATCATTCCGTCGAGAAGATCAGTTATACCGACTTCATCAATAAGGAACTCATCCTGTTCAGTATGGCCGACAATCAGCGGTCCATTCCCTCTGTTGTCGATGGCTTGAAACCTGGTCAACGTAAGGTCCTGTACACGTGTTTCCGTCGTAACCTTAAGAAGGATATGAAAGTGGTTGAACTGGCGGGGCACGTTTCGGGTATGACCGCGTACCAGCATGGTGATGCCTCCCTCCAGCAGACCATCGTCGGTCTCGCACAGACCTTTGTCGGATCAAACAACATAAATTGCCTCGAGCCCAGTGGTAATTTTGGAAGCCGTCTCCAAGGTGGTCAAGATTGTGCCAGTGCTCGTTATATCTATACGCGACTGTCGCCCTTTGCGCGTCGCATGTTCCACGCTGCGGATGACCCTCTTCTCACATACAACGAGGATGACGGCGAAAAGATTGAGCCAGAGGTCTACGTTCCCGTTGTGCCTCTTATCCTGATCAACGGTGCTGACGGTATCGGCACTGGTTGGAGTTCTTCAATTCCTAACTACAATCCGGAAGACATTGTGGAGAACCTGAAGCGGCTGATGGAAGGCGAGCCCATCAAGCCCATGCAGCCGTGGTTCCGCGGCTTCACCGGTGAAGTCACCGCTCTCGGAGGCGATCGCTTCAAGTTCAGCGGTATCATCAAGGAGACCGGAGACAAGGAGGTGGAGATTACTGAACTCCCCATCCGCACCTGGACTCAGGACTTCAAGGATAAACTCGAGGAAATTATCAAGGCCGAGAAAACGCCATCCTTCATCAAGGACTACAAGGATTACAACACGCACACCAAGGTACACTTTGTCATCCAAATGGATGAGAAGAACATGAAGTCAGCCGTGTCGGAAGGATTGGAGGAGAAGTTCAAGCTGTCAAAGACCATCGCAACCACCAATCTGGTTGCTTTTGACCCTGAGGGCCGGATCACCAAGTACGCTTCCGTCGACGATATCTTGAAGGAATTCTACACAGTTCGTCTCAAGTTTTACGAACGTCGCAAGGTACGTGACTTTGGCAGAAACGCCGAGACAACCTCACCGCACCTTGCTTATCTGAAGGCATGCTAACTTAGAGGCTATCTAGCAATATCAACTCAGTGAACTTCAGAAAGTGTTGGATAAGCTCAGCAACCAGGCTCGTTTCGTACAGATGATCATTGACGGTGATCTTGTCATCTCGAAGAAGAAGAAACCTGTTCTTATTGCCGAGTTGAAGAGCAAGGGCTTCAAGGCCTTCCCGAAGGTGATTGACGCTGTGAAGGCGGGCGAGGATGCGCCAGTAGTCGAGGAAGAAGAGGAGTCTGATGGCAAGGACGAGACGGAGGTCCTATCGAGCGCTTACGACTATCTCCTTGGCATGCCTCTGTGGTCTCTGACCCAGGAGCGCGTGGAGAAGCTGCGACGCCAGATCGGAGAGAAGGAGGTTGAGATGGACGCCTTAATCAAGCTTTCCAAGGAAGATATCTGGAAGCGCGATCTTGATGACTTCATCAACGAATGGCGATTCCAGCTTGAGGATGAAGCCCGCCGCCAGCGCAAGGTCGCTAACATGGGCCGCCGTACATCGGCGAAGCTCATGACTGCCGTCGGTCGGGGGAAAGCAACCAAGAAGCGCAAGGCGGCGATGGGCGATGATTCGGACGACGAAGACTTTGCGGCTCCAAAATCCAAGAAAGCAGGGGCTGCGAAGAAGACAGAGCCTAAAGGTGGTCTTCTCAGCTACTTGAGCAAGCCATCCGCGAAGCCTGCTCCCGCCCCCGCTCCCTCCGGCGACGGAGGCGATTCCGATGATGATTTCGAGGTAGAAGTGCTACCGAAGAAAAACAGGGGGCGAGCGACCAAGGCAGCTTCCAAGGTGAAGGATGAGGATGAAGACATGGATGATTTGGACGAAGAAGTCCTCCCGAAGAAGAGTCGCGGACCCGCCAAACCGGCCCCTAAGCCAAAGGAAGAGGACGATGATGACTCTGAAGAAATCGCTCCTAAGAAGGGCAGAGCCGCGGCCAAGGCGAAACCCAAGCCCATGGACGAGGATGACGACGACCTTGATGACGATGAATTCATGGAGATTGCCAAAGCCGAGGCTGCCAAGTCCCAGCCAGCTCGGACAAGCCGGAAAATCACAAACTATACGGCTCTGGACGACTCGGACAGTGATAACGGCGACGATCTTCTCGGCGATGTGAGCAAGATGGTCAAGGGCATTGGAGGCACTGCCGCTGACTCCACAACCGACTCACGCCAGCTCTTCTCCGAGCGGTCCAGGCCGAGCAGCAGCTCCTCTGGCTTGAAGGCCAGCAGCTCCAAGCCCTCGAAGCTATCCACCGATTTCGATGCGGATGAGACGGATTACAGCAAATTAATCCCTCAGAACTCTCCCCGCCGATCGCTGCAGGTCAAGCCCAAGGAGATCAAAGTCAATGATGATTTCGACATGGATGAAGATGATGATGAGCCCGTGAAGCCAGCTGCCAAGGCTAAACCAGCTGCCAAGGGCAAGTCGGCGACCACGGCTGCAGCCTCGAAGCCCGCAACTGCCCCCAAGCCGCGTGGCCGTCCGAAGAAGGATGCGGCCAAGCCAGCTGCTCCTGCGCCTAGTCTCAAGCAGACGACTCTGTCCCCTGCCGCCAAGGCATATGCATCCAAGCAGGCCAGGGCGACAGCCACCAAGAAGAAGCAGCTTGTCGATGATTTGTCAGATGACGACATCGATGCCATGGCCAACGACATCCTGGACTCTCCGGCAGGCAAGATGGACGTTTCGGAGGACGATGAGCCCCCTAAGCGGAAGCCCGCGGCCCGACCAGCTCGTCGGACTGCGGCGGCCAAGAAGACGTACGTGATTGAGGATGACAGCGAGGACGATGATGGAGGAGACTCGGGCGATGACTTTGATGAGGACAGTGATTAGAGGGGGAGCACGTCCATAGGCGTTGATCGTCTGGATACGTGCTTTTTCTTCTCTGCTTCCTCTTTTTCTTCCTTTTCTCAATCAATTCTTCTTCTACTTGGATTCTATGGTTACATCGCGTTGGTTTCGTCTTGTCTATGGGGTTCTTCCATTTTGTTCAGCTACATACATACTGAGTTACTATCATGCCTGGGACATAATATGACTCCGCATTATCGTGCAAATACCTCTTGAACGCTCAAAGCCCCTTGATTTCTAATCGGCCATGAACTCGGCTCGCTTTTGCTTCTACCATTGCTTCCAGAAAGTGGAAACAGTGGCGGTAAGACCCGATCCCAGCTAGATTTTTGTAGGTATCATCTGCGGTCCACAGTCAGACTCTTTTGGACCTACCATTGATGCTAGGCATTCCCACAAGTCCCTAGATCTTCACGGGAAGAGACCATCCGATGTGACCAGACACTCGGAGCTTCAGGAATTGATGTCAAGTCTTGTTTCGGTCGAGAATGCGATGATGCCCAGCTTGGTGCTTATCTCCGAGGCCGAGCTTTTCCTTTGTGTTCTTCTGGTGACCCACTGCTGATCACTTTTACTCTACCGTATCCACATGGACTGAGTCCGAACCTGATAGACAGAGATTACTCACTAAGAGATTACTCACTGTGAGCCACGCACATTAATCAGCAGCTGGCATTTTGACAGAAATTGAAGGTAGAAATGCCGCCTCTTTCTTTGTGCATTGGCTCTTCTGGATCATCGCTGACCTCAACCATGCAGGCATATCTTCAGTATCGCCGGGTTGGCAATGCCGTGCGCAGGCAGCTGGACGAGTATTTGGAACTGAGCCGAAGCCATGGTCGAAAGACAAGAAATGGGTGTTCAATCGAGGACGGAAGCGACACCGCTGGCGAAGACCTACAGCAAGCACCGCAGCCAACATGTCCGTCCACTTGGATCAACTTGGGCATTCACGTTCGGGAGATCGTCGACAGCACCGGCTCACCCACACGTCTCTTCCTCGTGGACTGGGAAAATGATCACGATCCCCTCAAGCCGAGCAACTACAGCCTACCTCGGCGCATCTCGGCCACGCTGATCGTCACCGCGCTGGCCTTCGTTGTGGGAGCCGCCTCATCCATCGAATCCGGCGTTCTCCCCCAGAACAGCGCCGCCTTCCACGTCAGCGAGGTCGTCGCCTCCCTGGCAACGGGCATCTACCTCCTCGGCTTCGCGGCGGGCTCGCTCGTCTCAGGACCCCTCTCCGAGATCCTCGGCCGAAACGCCGTCTACGCAGGCTCCCTAACCCTCTTCATGCTCTTCGTGATGGCCTCCGGGCTAGCCCCCAACATCGGCGCGCAACTCGCCTGCCGCTTCCTCGCGGGCGTCTTCGGCTGTCCGCCCCTCACCTGCGCCGGCGGCACCGTCGCCGATCTCTGGGACCCGCTCGAGAAGACCCTCGCCTTCCCGCTGTACGCGATCCTCTCGTTCGGCGGGCCCGTCCTCGGCCCCGTCATCGCCTCGTACATGGGCCAGGGGACGCTCTCCTGGCGCTGGACGAACTGGATCATCCTCCTCGCCTCCGGCCTCGTCCTGGCGCTCGTCCTCCTCTTCCAGCCAGAGACATACAGCCCACTCCTGCTGACATGGAAAGCGCGACACCTGCGCACCCTGACGGGCGATGAGCGGTACCGCGCCGAAATGGAGCTCGAGAAAACGGCCGTCTTCGCGCGCATCTGGACCGCGTGCGCGCGCCAGGTTCTGCTCACCGTCCACGAACCCATCATCCTGCTCATCTCGCTGTACATGACCGTCCTGTACATCGTGCTCTTCACCTTCTTCGACGGGTACTCGTTTATCTTTGGCGACGTGCACGGGCTGTCGCAGGGGCTGACGAATATCGTCTGGGTGGCCATGTACGCGGGCATCCTGCTGGCTGGGCTCGCGGTGCCGGTCGTGTATATCTGGACGAAGCGCGAGTTTGCACAGCAGCCTACCCCCTCTGATTCCGAGGCCAAGGGTGGGATCGGTGCGGGTGCTGGTGCGGGTGCTGGTGCTGCCAGAGCACAAGTCCAAGTCCGAGCCCGCCCCGAGAACAGGCTTTGGTTCGCGATGCTGGGCGCACCCTGTATCCCCATCGGACTGTTCTGGATGGGCTGGACGGACTACGTGCGTCCCCTTTTCCATCTTCCCCCTTCTTAGCTCATCGCTGATCAGTAATAGGCCTCAATATCGATCTGGTCGCCTATACTCGCATCCGCGGTCTTCGGCTTCGGCACCATCGCCGTCTTCATCAGCTCGTACATGTACGTCATCGACTCGTACGATATCTACGCTGCCTCCGCGCTGGGCTTCATGACGGTCTCGCGGTACTGCGCTGCCGGGGGGATGACGGTCGTGGGGATCCCGTTCTATGCGAATTGCGGGGTGCAGTATACGCTGACGATTCTGGGGTGTATCAGTGCTGTGATGACGGTTGTGCCGTATGTGTTTTACAGGTTTGGAGGCGTGATTAGGGGGTGGTCGCGGTATGCTGTGGGTAGTCATAGGAAAGTTTTCGTCTGAGGGTTACAGGAGAGAATCAATTTCGGTGTGCAGACTCTGCTGAACTTGTGTCTCGAAAACTAAAGCAAAAACAAAAAACAAACCGGACCAGATACACGAAGTAGAAAATGAACATGAACACCAGCGCCAACGCCGTCCTTCTAACACTTGGCCTCGTCATCATCACTCATCAGGACCGATACGTCACGCAGATGCCCTCCGTCTCTTCCGACTGTTCGAGCCCCTCGAGGCCATCAGCAGCGGCTCTTCATCCACGTCGCTGCCCGTGGCTTCTTGCATGTGCAGACTCAACAAGGCATGCGCGGCCTTGACTTCTCGCGCGAAGAGCGCGGAGCTATGTTTCCGTTTGGACCGGGTCTCGATCTTTCGGTTAGGATCATGACTCGACGACTTGACAGAGCCCCTATCGCTTCGGTCGTCTTTCTCGCAGTAATCCTCGTCATCGTCGTCGTCTTCATCAAGATCCATGGAGAGGACCTCGGTCGCGGTACTGGTACTCTCCGTGTACAGGGTCGATGAGCCCGACTCGTCCGACCCGGAGTCCTCCTCACTCCCTCCTGTACGTTCTCTGTCGGGCGTCTGGGCGATGGTAACGAGCATCGTTCGCGGCGAGGGTAATTCGGAGCAGATTACCTCGGAGCTTCGGGGTGTGTTGACGGGGGTGAAGCTATTCCGGAACGGGCTCACTGGGGAGACGCAGTATACGTCCCCATTGTACTCGGGTGAGGACCCGTAGCCGCGCATACTATCTGCGTATCGGTGCTGGTGGGTTCGGGGGATGAGTCGCTTCACGAATCCAGAGCTCCCTGCTGAGTTCGGACGGAAGCTTGTTCCCGTCCGGAGAGGGCGGAGGGGACTATAGGATGGAGACTGGAGTTCAAGCATGCGGTAGTAGTTTGCCGTTTCGGTGGCCTTTCTTACGATAGCCGGGTCGATGACCATACGGCCGAAGCGTCCTCGGTCCTGAGGGTGGATGCACATCGACGGGAAATCCAGGCCGAATAACGGGGTCAAGGCGTGTCGGATCTTCCAGCAGAACGTCGCTGCCACCGCTTTTGCGGCCTCAAATGGCATCCAGTAGCCTCAAAAAACAGTCAGCAGGAGGATGCGGATGGAAGATACGGTCAAATACCTTGGGCGGCAAGTGCTCCGCCAGTGATGCTGTGGCAAATCTCACGAAGACCAGGGTTGGCATTCAGCATCTTGGCTGGTGTCGTCTGGTCTCAGTCAGTTGGGAACTAGCAGCCAAAGTCGTCCTGTGTACCTTTGAGTAGTCATTGCATTTGAAGAGATGCGTCGTCCGCACAAGACCAATGTTGTAATCCCACATCACGATCCATTCTTTCTCTTCGCCGGGAAGTTTAAACGTATACTGAAAGACTAGGGCTTGTAAGCATATGTGCCCTTTGAGTCGTGGTGATCGCTGCTGTGGCTCACCCTCAAAACTCTCCCGACCAGTCCGCTCCTGGAACGATTTCTTGTCACTGTTATATGGTATGTGTCTTGCGTACTCTGCAATATCACTCGTGGGATGGATGCGAAATTCGCGGTGCTTTCGAGCCAACTCTTCGTCTCGCTCTTCGCAAGGTGGATACCGAACCTCCCCCCTAGGCTTGGCCTTTGTGAAGACTGCGGCATCTTTGGCAACCTTGGGCCGTTTAGCACGGGGCATATTAGAAGCCATGCTGGCCGTAGAGCTTGCCAGTGATTGACTTGGTAATGACAATTGGCTCGGGCCGGGAAGGGGATTCAACAAGGATGCTATCGACGCCATGTAAACAGTGCTCGAAAAGGAAGTTGGAGATCGGGGTAGAGTCAGCGAATCCCCAGTGAGTATTCTGGAAACAACCTTCTCTTCGAAGCTGGAGACCAAAAGAGACACTGAAAAGGACAAAAGATCAAGGTTGGGACAGGATTTATCTGACGTGACGAACAACAGAGGATGAGGCTAAAGTCAATCCTTTCTATCTGATCCCTAAGACACTGGGAATGAAAGGATTCTAGAAGGTCTCGCCCAGTGCCAAAGGAAATATAAGAGACAATGAAAACAAAAGGATGGGAGATGCAGAGACGGATACCCAAGGCACGCAAATGTGTGGTTACCGTACTGCTTTGGGCGATCACCGGACTAGCCCAAAGAGTCAAATCAGAAAATAGAATGCAAGACACCCTCACAAGAGACAAGTGGGCGACACCCTTTCCACTTCTTTGTCAGGAGGTTTGTTCTGCATTGGACCCCTTCTAAGAGTGGATAATAGTGACGCATCTTATGAAAGGTGCCCAAATGGCTATACTCTGTTTGCCTGGCCCCCCAGGCAGAGAAGTCACCTCAGCAAGTGCAATCCTCTCTTTCGAGGCAATGTTCCATAACGGGGGGGGCAGCGGTGAACCCAGGCCTACGACTGGACTCCGGATCTAGACGTCTGGGTTGAGCGGATGTCTTGGATTGAGGTGGGAAAGTCTTCGGCAGGAGAACAACCTCACCGGTACTTGGACCCAGGATCCATCACGAGGTACACGTTCAGATTGGCCAGGCTGCGACGGCGAGTCCAGATTTGCCCTACCTCAAGCACCCTCAGAGTATAGCAGGTACTCCCAAGGTATAACCAGACAACGGTTCGGTTGCAACAGGGCTTCAATTAGCGCCAGCTCGGTAATGACAGAACGGTTGCTCCCTTCCTCCTCCCTCCTCCCTCCTCCCGTTCCCCTCTCAGTGCCCGGCCATGACCTGTGACCCCTACTAGCCCGATCAAAAAGTAACGCATGCCCTCCAATTTCTCGAGGCTTCACCTGTTCCACTCCTGATCTGCAGCTACCCAAGACCAAAATATGACGCAGGCCTAATGAAGGGACATGGTAGATCACGTTTCAGGAACGGCTGCCACCATGTGGAGGTCTTGCATAGCTGGGCTGTAATTGACACCCATATCTATTGCTCCTCTTGCTCCAGATCCCCCACCGATGCAAACAGATGGAGACAGCGGTCTGACGAGCGTAGACCCAAAAGGGACTAGATGGCCATGGAAAACGAAAAAGGGTATCGACAGACTTTCGTACCGCAATACTAGGCCTGTGACTTTCTTTTTGTGTTGACCGTCTTTGGTTGTTCCCGTTCCCGGTTGGTGAAATCGTGATTTTGTCACTTTTTCTTTTCGCTCACAAATTGATATCAACCATCCATGTCGATGACCTCGACCTTGGAAGATGGTATCAACCGCTAGATCATCCGGAAGATTAGACCTGACCGGACGACAATGACCAATGAACGAACAGGCACAGCGGCGATGGCTCAACGAGGCGGGCAGTAGGGAGGTCTGAGACCGCGGATAGCTGCATGGCGCTTTCTTCCTGTACGACGGGAAGCTGCTTTTGCTCTCAACCAACGAGTCCGCACCAAATCAGCCACTTGAGCCAGGTGAGACCCAGTATTTGTCCGTTGAGGGCGAGCTTGGCTTCATCCAAGTCGGATTCGGTCTGAAAGAACCAAAAAGATTGAACACAAATTGACATGCCGTGGTAGATAGTCAGAAAGGGACAATTCATCAGAATCAGACAGCTCTTGAGTTAAGCCGAGCTAGCCGTCGAAGAAAGAGGACAAGCACACAATAACGGTTGTTACACCAACAGAGCTCCCAAAAATATGTAGTCAGGCCTATTTCCACTCCCCTGCTTCCCCCCGTCAGGCGACATCGCAACACCATGGAGCATGCCATACTAGGTACACTCTCTAAGGGCAAGCCTCGCTCCCTGAAAGTGACACCCGTTGGTCGACTTGACGGCTTAGTTCCGATAGACCGCTATGACAGGACATAGCTCTCACTGGACGGTTATCTCATCAGAGACGCAGGCTATGCAGACTCTGCTTATATGACCACAGACTTCAAAAGAACCTTCCATGCAGCCTTCTCTGCAGTAGGTCCACAACCTCTGTGGCGTACCAGTCGTCTTCCTTCCTGAATGGCCTGTCTTTTGGAAGACCCGCTTGTTTCGTTGAGGTCGACTGTTCTGTCTTTGCCACCCTTTCAAGCTTCTTCTTTGAAGGCTCTGCAATTGGTTTGTCAACGGTTCTTCAGAGCCGCACTTAACCTTGGAGACGGTAGGTGGATGGCTGCTGGCGATGAGGATTTTCAGCCTCATCCTGATCCACTGAGAGAGGTGTCTCGCTTGAACTCAAGACAATAGCAAATATTCATAATCATCACCCACCAAGTCAGTGGCAGTATCCCGTGAGTATCGAGCGGTCGTGAGCTTGCCATTCCCAGAGTCTCTCAAGTGTGAGACATTTAGGAGGATCTAGAAGGTGAGAGAGAAGCTCAACGTCCGAAACATAGACTACATCTGTCAGGAACCATTTCCAATTTTTTCTCCTTGGAACGAACATTCTGCCTATACTTTGTCAAAACAGATGGCTTCAGGCTGTTACTCGTATTCGACAGACGGCATAGGATGCGTCATCGAGCAATGCCATCTTCTGCGAGTCAGACCACGGCAGAATTAAAATAGATATCACACGATGACTTCAGTTAGCCTGCCTGCGCAGATCATCAACCACATTTACCTCAAGATAGGGAAGACTCGATGTGAAGAAAGCAGGCAGCTCCTTGTCCTTGTCTATGGAGAGTGCAAACAGCACAAACAAGCCCAAGTCCCGTGACTCTCGAGGCATGATGCATCGAAATCGAAGGTCTCTTCTACAACCCCCCAACCCATGTGTCAGGCACTCCCATGTTACATTGGACCTTACCTACATACAACCTGGGGTGAATGGGGTCTAGGTAACTCCTTAATTAAACCATCTGCATCATACACGACATGGCATGACATACAGCACGCAGGCCAGCACGCCCGTTGCGAAATGCGACGTTGCCGGGTGTCCCCCGTTAGACTCTGGACGGGATGATCCCTGTCGACTGCGGCATGATAAAACAGCTCGCGCAACACCTGTGTGACGTCTCTCAATCTGGGGTAAAGGGGTGGAAAGGAGCGAGGCCATCCCGCTTACTACAAGACACAGAGTACGTTATGTTGTGTTCAGATGTATTAGGAACGAAGTACTATGGTTTTTGGATTTCGTGCTGCTGTAGGCACCGTGACTGGGGCTGGTCCGGATTCAGATGCAGGATTGTCTGTGGAGAGGCGAGTCGGAGTTCCTGCGGTGATAGGGGCTTGAGGCTGCCATGGGTTGAGAATTGAAACCGTTACTTCACATTGGCATGGTTTGAACCAGAGAAGGAGAAATTCACACATGGGTCAAACCTGCGCAGCCAAGCAAGGATCGGTGAAACTAGACATGATGCAGACAATTCTCGACATGAGGCAGAACGTAGTGGATGTTATTGAGCACTCTGATGAGCTTCGAGGATACGAGGATACCAGAAATCATGAATTAGAAATCACATACGAGTCACAAGGAACTGATGGTGAAGCTTTTAGGGAAAAACCGAGTCCTAATCCAGACGCGGTTGCATTCAGACAGAAAAGACCCTTGGAAAGGGAAACAAGTGAAATAGAAACCCTGAGATATCATACCATCTTAACATCATGCACGCCGAACCATCCGTCCCGATTCACAATTCACAATGTACAATCCAATTCTACCCAAACTCAATTCGCGAGAGCAATGCTAGATCGCTTGCCCATTAGCATAATCCGTGTCCGATGCCATCATATCCTTGACCGACTTGCAGGTCAAATAGACGAGCAAAGGAGACAGAATTGCGCACTTAAGCAGCCAGCAGAGGCTCCCTGGTCTCCAGAGGCTGGCGGTTGTGCTCAATGGGTTCTGCTACCGGCTCCTGCTTGGGGGCCTCCGGGAAGTCCGTTGTCTTGATGACGAATTCGGGGCTGGGCTCCTGCTTGACAATGGCTTCGGCGCTAGGCTCCTTCTTGACAACAGGACCAGCGGCTTTGCTAATCTCTGGCGAAGCACTGCGACGGTGACCAATGTACTCTTGAGCCTTGGCGCTGTAATCACCGACGTACTGCTTCACGAGACCGGTGGCATGGTGGGTACGCTCCTCCGCGAGGTCCTTCAATTGGTGGGCTTGGGAGTTGATGACTCCTTGGGCATTCTCAATTTGAGCATCAATAACTTCGCGGTTGTTGATGTAGACAAGAGGCCCCAGGTAGGCGATGGTGACACCAATCAAAGACAATCCCCAGAATGGGAGGAACTTGATCAGCCAGTAGGCAGTAAAAGCAGCAGAGAAGGCCTGGAATTCTTGTCAGCGCTGGGCCCATCCTTCAAAGGACAATATGAGGAGCAGATCCGAGTTTAAACATACAGCAACAGTGTGGACAACATTCTCGGCGAACAGAATACGCTGGAACTCGAGGAGAAGGAAGTCGACGAGCTGTTCGAGGTCTTCCAAGACTGCCTCAACAGTTTCCTTGGGTACTGTGTAGTATTTGCGAGGGCGGAAAGAGCTGGCGAGGCCCTGGGACAGCACGAGACGACCACCAATTTCGGCCGCAGCAGTGACTACCATCTCCAATCAGCCACGCGTAAGTAACATATGCACCAACCAGTATCAACTCACATCCCAAAGCCAGATACATAAACTTGAAGAACCAGCGAAGAAGAGGCAGGTAACGGGCGGCAAAGATGAAGGCGACGACGCTCGCAAACGAAACGGCAGTAGCTCTGGGTTGCTCCCACTGGTGTATGTCAGCGACCGATATAAATTGAGACCATGATGTTCTGGCGGAAACAACTCACGCTCAGGAGTCTGTAGAGCAAGGAATGATAGTCTATGCGGTCATTAGCTCTGTCTTCGAGGTTGCTGGCTTGACTTGAAAATTGCACGACATACAGGTCAGGGGCTGGCCGGTCGCAGTGGTTGTTGACGGAGTTGAGCTCGTATATCTCAGGTCGCGCAATTCCTCCTGGGTACGCGAGGCCTCGGACTTGATGTTGTCAATAACAGGACCTGCAAAGCAATTTTGTTAGACACTCGATTTCTCCGCCATCGATTGATTTCATTCTTTACCGTTTGTCACAACATCTCTGATGCCTGAATTGCAAGGTCAGTCTGTGTAGACCTTCGTAGGGAAATGAACAAACTATAAATAGCAGTCGTAGTTAGCATTCCTGCCTTCAAGAAAGTCACCAATATCTGCTCCAAACGTACCTTACTGCCGTCAGGGTTGGGATAGCTCACGTCACCGGCGCTTGGGACTTCGGCCATGGCGGAAGTTTGTGTGGAAAGCTCTAGAACTTGGTCACAGAGTATGAAGATGATTTTGTTGTCAGGGGTTCCGTCAGAAAATCGAGTTCCAGATTAAAACAGATGAAGTCGATGAGATTAGGAGTGTTCGAAAAAGAAAAGGATGAGTGAGAGAGGGATGGAGGGAAGTGGACGGGAGAGCAGCAGAAGAAAAGATAAGGAGAGGGTCGTGCTCCGGTCTGGTCTGGTCTGGTCTGGGTCTGTTTTGGTGGTGATGCAATTCAAGCGAGCCGGACAGGTTCCTGTCTGGTCGTGTGCTTCACTGCCTTTTCTCTTGCTGAGTATTTGGGTCGATCCACTCGAGTATTATTCTACTAATTGTTCTTCTTGTCTCGAAGCATTGAAAGAGTTCTACCTACTCCGTACACCTATCGATTTAATCATGGCGCACGGGATGGCGGGAGCTGTCTGACAGAGCTACTATTAATATTTCTGGGCTCCCTCGACATGTGATAGAGTAGATGACATACGCACTATCAACATCATAGGGGCACACCCTATCGCCACACTGCAAACTTGGCAGGCAACACACTTATGAAAGCAAAGTTCAAGGTCAAGGACTACTACGGAGTACTGTACTACCCACATACAAAGCTATCTATTGGGATTGTCATTTGTATCTGGACTTGATTCTAATGTCCAGGTTAAAATCTCTCGAGCATTGTGGCTGAAGCCTCACGCACATATCTCTCTAGGCGAATGGTAGAAGCCGTAAAGGTTATGATCTCACAATGATCTCTTGACTCTGACAGGCTGGTTTGAAACAGCATGTTTGCGCTGCTGTTGATTACATGAAAACCAGCTCAGCTAGCCTCTGTCCCATTAACCTTCTCCTTCAAGCACAGGGTGTTCATCGGTGGATGTGCGGCTCATAGCTTTCATGATCTTGAAGACAGTTCAGAGTTCTGGCCGAATGCTTAGATCTAATTTCTCAACCGGTTCTGGCACTTGTTATCCCATTGGAGAAGAATCCCATTTGCACCGTGAAAGTACCTAGTAAAGTCAGCGAATCAGGAAGCAAGGGATCGAACGAGCGCAGAACAACGAAAGTGGTGCAGGATTTGACCGCCGGAGGTTGGTCAGAGATGACACCTCTGGCGAGCCCCTGGCTTTTTGAGAAGATGCGAATGTGAAGTCATTGTGTCGAGGATTCGAGGCCCCATCGAGGAATCGCAGCGTAGAATTGGAATAAATCTGGATGCCAGCAAAATCAGGCAGACTCCATGATGTAGTGTATCACGTGATCTGGCGGGACTCACGCGTCTCCGATGTTTTGATGCTCAACTTCCGCCGACGACGAGCGACGGTAGCACACTGTTCACCAGCCAACACTAGCCGCACCACGCCATAAATCGATGATTGCCTTGCCTGGTCTTGACTCCTCAGAACGGGCATTTTGGCCCTTTACGTGATTACACCGATCCATCCCGCACCCACCCAGTAATTCCTTCCTATCGCATTTGTTTACATCGTCATGGCGCCTGCTGGACCGAGGGTGCAGAAGCCTGTCGGCTCTGCAGCATGGATTTCGACCGAGAAAGAGAACTTTGCGCAGCTGGTTGATCAGGAGATGGAAGAGATTGAGTATCCTGTACGCCATGAAATGGATTGGCTGAATGAGCACATGGCAGAGGTGTTCGCTAGCAATCAACTGTGCGTTCTGATCTACATCTCAATCAAACCGTCGACCCTTGCTGACTGCAAAATAGCAATTTTACAGACGTGTTCAAAACTCCCGGAAAGCTCCGAGGTAAGACACCTCGAACAGCACGGAAGCGGAATATAAATGAGAACAGAATTGTACGTTGGCCGCACCCATTGCTATGCTTGACGTTCGTGATCATTCGTACTGACCAATGTCAGCCCTTGAGTGAGATCTTCACAACGTCTCATAATCAAGGAGACCGCAGCCGTAATGGCAGCCCCGCCCGTTCACCCATCAAACCAACCGCTGTGCCTTTGGAGCCAAAAGTCTCTCCAATCAAGACGAAGGACACCGCAGAGAATACCTCGCAACCTCAGTATCCTGATTTGACCCAGAATCTGAACTCTTTCCCCCAGTATAACACCGATTCGGGTTACCATGGTATGCCAGACGATGAAGAGGAGGATCATGACGATGATGTGGTTCTCACCCAAGTGCAATCGGAGACGCAGACATCCACCCAGCCTCTCGAAGACGAGCCCGTAACCGCCAACGAAAGCCAAACCCAACCACAGCGACAGTCTGTTGATCGTCGTACAACAGCTGCTTCATTCCATTCGGCCCAGGAAGACGTACGCCAACGCGGAGAGACGGTCGAGCCTATGGAGTCTGTGGAGGCTGTCAACGATGAGACAACACCAAAACAGGAAAAGGTGGCTTCTTCCACGCCTCAGCCAGAGGAGAAGCGACCGGAAGCATTCCTCGTGGCGGATCCGGCACCAGAGAAGGAGCCCGAGGCCGAGTCTGAGTCCAAGCCACGGCTGGAACCACAAACATCGCCGACCAAGTCTTCTCCAATGAAACAACCAGCTCCTTCGGTGGAAGAAGATATTCCTGAAAAAGACGACACGCCTCTTGACTCCCTTGATGACATCGGCACGCCTTCGGACAACTCCACGCCGGAAAGGCCTCCCATCCGCAAGAGCAGTCTGAGCTTTGCATCGCTTCCCGCACGGGAGCCACTGTTGAAGAAGAGCTTGGGTGGCTCGAGAATCTCTCGCACGAGTCATATTGATATTGCTAGATTGAACAATGCGGCGGGTCCTAGTTCATTTGGTCGGCAAACCGGTGGACATAGAAACACCCCTGTGAATGAGGAGCCAGCGCTGGATGACGATATGGACCTTGATGAAGCTAGAAGAGATGCTCAGCAGCAAGATGGCATTGAGGCAGAAGCAGACGCCACAGCTAGCAAGCTCCATACCAAGTCTTCCACTCAGAGACTTCATGAAAAGATTAGCATGCTTGGCAAACTTCAACCCTCGCGGCCCACGAAATCGATCCCATCCGTTTCAGGCCTATCCTCCGCTCACGTTGCTTATCCCGAGCTCCCAGCAGCCAGTGCAAAGTCGGAGGTGCTCAATCAGGAATCTCGCGAAACGTCTGCACCGGAGCCTATGGCAATCGACGGGGACGACTGGATCAAGCCAATCGACTCTCCGCGGAAAGCAAACGCTCCCAGAAGCCCGAAAACAGAAGTGAAGGTGAAGGAGTTCCCAAATGAAATGAGTCGCGCATACAACGATAGGGCTTCTGTACCACGAACTCAGAATCGGAGCGACGCGGACGCGGTGAGAGCCAGCAACCGAAACGGCACACAATCGATCCGTGAAAAGTCTTCAACGCCAGCATATTCTTCACCCCATCGGCCTACCCATCAGAAGAGTGCGTCAGTGTCCAATACGGGCCACTACGCTTCCACAACACCAGTGGGCTCCCCCGCCGCCGAGCGTCATGATGGCCCTCTGAGCGCATCCAAGTTGAAACTTCAATCCATCATGAGATCTGCCAAGGGTCTGTTTACGAACACCGGTAGTGTGACAGCTGCAGCAAGATTAGAAGCGTCCTCGCCTGATGAACTGGGGTTGCATTCGTACAATCGTGCAAGCGCTAATGCTGCTCGTGAACAACAAGATCGCCGGCCGGTCCAGATCTCTAGTCCTCCCCCTCGACAAGAAGGGCGCAGAACGCGAAGCTCGACGGAGAGGGAAGAAAAACGCAAGCAGAAGGAGCTTGAAGATCGTCGCCGAGAAGAGGAGCAGGCGGAGAAAGCGCGGGCAGAGGAACGCCAGAAAGCCCTTCAATTGAAGATCACTCAGGAAAGGACGCGGATGGAAGAGGAAGAACGTAACGCTCCTCCTTCAGCAGCCGCCGCTCCGGCCAGTTCGAAGAAGGCACAGCCGCTGCAAAGACATCAATCAAGAGAGCCCGAGCCCAGCCATGAACCTGTTTCTCGAGCACCCAGCCGAATGTCCGTCTCCCAACAGCAGCCAAAGCAGAACGATCGTCGCCCTGTGAAGCCCACTCGTGAAGTTCTCCAGAAACCCAAGCCTCAGCCCGTCTCCATCCGTGTAGGCAGCGCGCTTTCGCGCCAGATCCCACTGGCCTCCACTTCTGTGGCGTCTAGCGGTCCGGAGCCCAGTTCTTCTGTCGCTCCACCGCCCTCAGCTTCAAAGCCACCAACTCTCAAGAAGAAGGCGAGCAATTCTTCTTTACATACCGCCTCTTCAAATAGCAGTTTCAAGAGCTCAGTCTCCAGCCAATCGCAGCGCAAAGTTCAGCTTGCGAATGAGAGAAAGAGGGAGCAGGAAGAAAGAGAGGCGCGCCGCAGAGAGGAGCAGAGACGTGAGTTGGAACGCAAGCGAGCTGCTCAGCAGCAAGAAGAAGCCCGTCGTCAGGAAATGCGCAGCCGAGCAGAGGCCGAACGCCGGGAAAGGCTTGCTGCTGAGGATTCCAAGAAGGCCGCCCAGATACAGGCGATCGAGAAGCGGAGACAGGAAAATGCACGGAGACTCGAAAGACAGGGCAGTCAACAACCTACTAACGAACGGGTAAGTGAATCTCCTAAGTCAGCCTTGGAGTCCATGCTGATGCTTCCTGTACTTTAGGCTTCAATTCTCCAGCCAGAGAGACCTCTTTCACAGGCTGCCCGACCCGCGTCACGGCTTGGATCCATTCAACCCTTAGGTCGGACGATCAACCCGCCCCAGCCCAATCCGGCGAAACCACCAAAGAGAGGTCTGGACGACGAAACCAGCTACCGTCCCGCAGCTATGAAGTCCAGTACTGTCCAGCCCTCCGGGGAATCTAAGCGCAGGAAGACGGAAGATGAACACAATCCCATGTCCGCCATTCGACCCACAATGGCCCCGCCCATCAGACAGTCGGGGATCCGCAAGGTAGGCTCCCACCCTTCTTGAATCAGTCTGGTCGTGTTTGCTCATTCTCGTATTTCAGGAGTCCATGAAACCTCCCATGTACGGCCACGGACAATCTTCTACGCATCAACCAGGCGCTTCGATCTTCAAAACCGCCCAAGCCCAAAGACCAGCTCACCCCATGGATATGGCCAAGTACGCAAGCGGCAAGATACCCTTCGCAGAACCAAGCAATGCCCCGTCTCAGCTGCATGGGCATAAGACTCCAGGCGCCAGCTCGTCTCAAAGGGCGCCAGCGAAACCATCTCCCAACTATCCCAACGGGGAGAACATCCATCTTCCCGAGATTGCTACCGATAGTGAGGATGAGGACTCAGATGCGGAGATGCTCCCCGTGCCCAGGTGGGCTCAGCCCAAGGAGCTGGAGAACATCCTTCGCCAGCAGGAAGGCATGGAGGCGGACTCGATCTTTGGTCCCATCGCTCCGTTCTCACTGGAGGAGACATTCAAGGCGGACAAGAAGATCAAGAAATTCCGTGACCGTACCAGCAGCGCCAACTGGTCCGGTGCCGATGGACTGACCCAGGAGGAAATCCGGCGTGACCTCGCCGAGCGTCAACGGCTGAGGCTCAACGGCGGCTGGACCTTTAACACATAATCTCTGCCTTCATACTTACTTTGGACCGGGTATATTCATTTTTTATGTTGGGGTTTGCGTTGCTAGCGACAGCTGAACACTGGAAGAAATGGGGTGATTGGCATACCTGGCGGCGTTTGCGGATCGTTGATATGCTATTAGCTTTGTAGTTGCATTATTGGGAGACATAATTCAAGATTTAGATTTATATCAATCATGAATGATTAAGGTACTTTGGATGTAGTCGAAAGTATTAATTAGTGTCTTCCAGCCAAAACAGTCCTTGTATCCATTTCGTCAGTCTATTGATTGAGGTATATCCGTACCTGCTGCACACAACATCATCGTTCAAAATCTACTAGCAGAGGGCATACAGGCAACCAGAGAGAAGGAAAGGAGAAGAAAAGAAAAAAATAAATAAATAAAGAAGAGAGGGACGGAGCTACCAACCATACTCAGTGATGCCCCGGGAAAAAAAAAAGAATGCATCATCCGTGAATCGAACACGGGCCTCGTCGATGGCAACGACGAATTCTACCACTAGACCAATGATGCTAGTCGTTGACCTACCTCACTTAATTAGTTATATAGCCTAAAAAACACCCAATTCCAATAACCAGTGCAATGGAAGTTACAGCACAAGCAAGAAAAATAAATGAAAAGGAAGGAATAGATAATCCACGAGATACAAGAAGAAGGGTTATTCACGCGGCCACTAAGCCTACAGGGATGCTATAGACGCATGCAGGGGTCGAGACAGACATCATCTACTAGTCTGTTCCACCGGACTGTCTGGGAAATATATATCTACTGCAGAATCTCGGTGAGACCCCGAAGAGTTGGGATATTTGGTGAACAGCAGATGGCTCTAAATCCGGGTATCTGTACACTCAGGCCTATGATGTCAAGGTAAAAAGGCACTCATGATTTTGACACCCTAGATTCTATCCGACTGCGAAAGCAATAGTGGGAATATGGATTTTCTACATATGGTTCACCAAATCGAGTGACTCTGCTAAGGAGATATTGCACGGCACATATGACCAGATGTGGAAAATAGGGGCTATTTTTCTGCGTTAATATGAAGCAATAGCAATAGCAATAGCAATAGCATTATTTTCAAAGGGATTTGGGCCCCTAAAGATTGGGGGTTTTGAAGACCATGACAACCCTATAGCAGCTAGAATATGCAAGCGCATATCAAAAGTTGTTGGCTGGAGATTTCACCTCCAGCTGGAATTAGGGCTGATCATCAGTGCCTTCCGACAGAGCAGTGCTTGCCTGTTCAACTGGCATCTTCCCATCTGGAATCAGCGGCGCTTCGACCCCTGTCTGACTACCTGATTGAGCGGCAGACTGATCACTTGTAGGAACTGGTCTGAATTCATTCCCATTTGTCTTTGTTGTAGAAAGGTAAGTATATGTACATATTAACGCAGCCAATGAGAGACCGCAAAACCATAAATCATCTGGGTCAAAATGATCAGGAGTCAAAGATTGAACTTTTTGATTTGTGTATCCTTAGTTCTTCTCCGCCTTATGGCCATGGTGACGTCCTATGGAAGGGGCCAATCATGAAGGCTTTCCAATTTGAGGTTTGTGTGATCTCTCTGGCTGAACCAGAAGTCCTCCAGGTCCGAAATCAAGGCGCAAGGCCATATGACTAGGTGGAAGAGTAACAGCGGTCAAAAAACTCCACAGTGTAGACACCACCTGTGTACTAGTCCGTGGCTTGATTCGATAGCTGCCGCTGCCGACGCAGCTCCCAAAAATCTTTCGCAAATTGACCAACAGGTCCTTTGTGAGCATGACATCGCCTTTCCTTAGTAAGTCCGATGCTGCGTCGGTGTAGATCGAATCGTTGTTATACTTCGGAGTATCATGAAGAGCATGGTTCGGGACTGCTGCTGGAACTCCATAGGAAACTTGTTGAAGTCTTGTTGAAGCCTCAGCGTGCCGCAAAGCCGGGAAACTCGGTCAGGCCAGGTTTCTTTGTCGAAAAAGGCGTCTGCGTTCTCTGGCAATCCGTAGAAGGTATATGGGCTTTGATCGACGTGTCTGTAAGGCCTGGCTTTTTCCGAATCGGTCGAATTTTATCCAAAAGAGGGACCGTTCATAAACCACATACACTGTCGTCAAACATCTCGGTTGACCTCACAAGAATCATCTGTAGAACCGTGCTGCCAGCCTTTGCAGAGTCATGTTCTCCAGGGTTTACAGCTTGTCGGCCGACAAACACCTCCAACGGAAGGCGGACTTCATCAGTGGAGACTGGCACTTGTGTATCAACATCGACATAGAAACCAGAGACCGACAGAGAGACAGCGATATTCCAAATGTCAACGTACGCTGTCCGGGCAGCAGGGCAGAGGTTGTTCGGTGTGCCAATATCGGTCAATCGATGTCCTGGTCTCCAGACAGATATGGCGAGTGGGTTGTCGTCCGTCTCTGTACAGATACTTGAAGGAAATGGTAATTATGGCTTGGACTGGCGACTGAGGGGCTTCTAATCCATTGGAGCTGCAGCAGCCTGATGCTTGGAATCGGCCCGGCTTATGCCGCAGTTCCACGTGGAACACCTGTATATACTGGCTCGCGCGGACGAGTCGGAGGTCGAGCTTTTCTGTGCTCTTGGTGGTCGTTATCGAGGTTTGTTTAGCATTATATACTGTTGCGACGTGGTCCGTATATGATGACCTTCTTTGTGCACGACTGTATGATCTCAGAAAGAAAAAGATCGAGCTTTCTCCGTCTTGGCAGCCTTTCTTTGATCCTTCTTGCCCTTAGAGAATGCCCGAGATCGGGCTTTCTGCTTTGCGGAACGCCGACGACGACGCACAGCCGGGGACGCATTGGCATTGTCGGTGGTGGTGGTACTGGTGCTGTTGGTGGTGGTAGTGGTGGTGGTGGTATTCTTGGACTTTGCAGGCTTGAACTGTATAAACCACATCATTAGTATCCATACTCACACAGATGATGATCACCTAAGATGTCAATGTATGATAGAAAAGTGGGATCTGTCAAAGTACATCAAGATGTAGCTTTGTCTTGGATAGACTTACCTTTATAGAAGCGACCAGATAAAGTAGATTCTTCACTGTTGAGCGTTCCTTCCCGCCCGGACAAGTCGGCACATTATAGACGGCACACTATATTGCCTTCATTGAGCATTGATCTCAAAGATCCCACAACATGACTTACAGGCATGATGGTATGGAGCAGTAGAAATCCTTCTCAAAGGTGTCTGTATATTCAATGTCAGCGAGAGAAAGTGCTCCGATATCAATGTCTTCACTGTCATCTTCTTGATCGGAGTCATAGACCTTTTCGTCTCCCATCATCGCTGCTTGATCCTCTGTGTTAGCATCAGCTTGGTCACTATGGACGCCCATATCATCTTTGACTATACAGACACATTTGGTATTGTCTGTCGGAATGGTGTTTGGGATGTTGTAGACGTCAAGTATGTTTTCCTGCCTTTTGGGTTTTTGCTTCGCCCAGGTTGCGTGTCGGTATGCAACCCAGTCACTGTATAGCGACAGGTCAGTTGGTAGTTCCCATTTGTGAGCAACGTCCTCGTCTTCCGAATCGGATACCACGTAATGGAGGGTCCGTTTGCCAAGGCTTGTCTGAGTCTTCCGCTTTTCCGTAATTGTGGTGTTGATCTTCTGCACTGCGCTCTTGTATTTTGTCTTTTGTTGCTCGAACCATGCTGGAAGCACGCTATCTCTGAGCATCCATTGTTGCGGTAAGACGGGCCTGGCGTCTGGAGCCTGAAGGTCACCAATGTAAAATGTGGTATAACCGCCGTCATTGTCCTTCTTGTTCTCGCGAGCGAGCCAGTCATTGATTGCCTTTGTTGATGTAGCATCAGTGTAGATCTCTTTGAGGATGCTTGTTTCCCAGATGCGCCTATCGCAAATCCTGACCTTGGATGTCCTCCTCACATAATGTCCTAGGTTCGTCGGAGAGAATCATAGTCTCATCATGTCGACATCCTCTTCATCATTGCTGTCCATAACTCATCATAGATTTCTGTAGCACCACTAAGTGCTGCCAGCCTTTACAGAGTCCACTGAAGCTGCAGCAACCTGGTGCTTGGAAGGGGGTGATTAACAGCGTCGTCTGTTTTAAGCCGTATTTTATGGCCTGAGCAAATCCTGACATTTGAGCCGAAGCCTTAGAGAGCCATCACCCAGACCATCTGTCAGGTTGCTTCTTGGAGAAGGCTTTTTTAGGCTCAATATAGGGTACATCACCTTTATGATGAGTCCCCATGATAGCAGCACCGCCGTGTGCTTCCTTGATGACTGATGGGGCATGTATCTTCACGAGCCATCCCTTGAGGCCCCAATGATCTTACCCATCAGTTCGTTGCCTCAGTTCTTTGCGAAGAAAACACACGCTCTTGACACCATGTTGATTTTTTTGACATTGTAGTGGAATCGTGCGAGGTGGTCTGCCCCATCCCAGTCGTTTCTTTGGCCTTGCACGACGAACCCCCCAACTGCCAGCTCCATGATCGCCACGGCGTTCTGGGCCCACTCCCAAGGCATTGTGTAGTAGTCGTAGTCGTTGGTGATGGTGATGGTGATGGTGATGGTGATTGCTGTATTTAAGAACCCCGTGTGCCTCGCCACTAAGGATCCGTGTCTGAATCGGCAATTCTCTTTCCTCTCTCTTAGGCCTTGTCCTTCCCCAGTATCCTCAACGCTTCTATCCAAGTACCTTGAAGGGCTTGGGAATTGCACCCTTTTCAAGCAAAGAGACGCCCTAGCATTGTCAGACTCTTCAGTGTGGCACACTTCAGGATCTGTGTCATCATCGCAAGGGCCCCCAAGGCAAATCACAAGAAGCGACAGCTATTTAGGCAGAAACTAAAAGAGTTCTTAGGGCTGCATGTGCATTCCTTTTGGCGGGAAGTATAATCACGAAGCGTTTACAGTTGATTAAGATTAACTGTCGCTTCATCAAGCAAGGCGATCCTCAGACTCCCAAGGGCCATGATGCCTCATCGCAACGTCGCAATTGGCTCCCCATGCCACTCTGGGGTGCCTGGTTCTGGTTCTTTACTGCCGGTCGCTTCTTGATTCCGTCCAGGTATTCTCAAATCAAAGTCATTCCTGAACTGGCATCCGTCTTGGACGCGGGGTGACCGTAGGTTCTTCCAGAGCGGGTTACCTTTCTTGAAACAGCTTCGTCGAGGACTGCTTGGAGATCCTCGTCACTAAGCACCCAGGGCTTCTCTGGGATGGGGTGAGAAACTCATCCACCCACCCAGAGCAGCCAATCCTGTGGGCTCCTGAAGCTTGCGGGGCTCATCTAGACAGTATGATATGTCCGTCTGTTTAGCAGGTGGTCGTATCGATGTGGCAAGGACCGCCCACCCGGTAAGAACTCATTATAATTGCTGATGAGCCTTCTTGCACTATGGGGGTCATGAGAGGGCTCAAGGTAATGGTCGCAGGCTGTCTCATCTTCTAGAAGCATAGGAAAAGGGTACATGAGAGCGTCTGTATGCTCTGATTGTGCTACCTCATGGAGGCTGATTAGTACTGGAAGTGGTCAACGAGTAGTTGGAGGAGTGACGATATCTTATATGAAACTAAGGGCTGTAGAGTGAAGTTCCCTGCGTGAGCTGGCTTCATATAACAGGATTGAATTCTTAACAGACCTAGTGGATTAGAAGGCCTAGGTTACATCGCTAGCATGCATGCATGATCTGACCATATCTTAGTCTTCCTTGTCTCCATCACCAGACGACGACACTTCTGGATATTCAACGTCTACAAGCAAAAACATACTTGGAAAATGCATGGTCTGATGGTCTATAGTATTTTATCATGCATATCTGCAAGAAGTATACACCCAAGGGCCCGAGACCCTATCTACACATACATACATTGTGCTCGGCAGGAACTCAATCCCGACTTTGCACTAATAGTTACAAGCCTGTCCCGACTACCTCAATCGACCTCCGGTTCAACGTCACTGACCTCATCATACGCCTCGTCCATGGCGTCTGGGTTAAGATTGGCTGCGTCGGGGGTGATGCCATCCTTGTGCCTGTCTCTGTCATGGGATACCGTGCGCCAGCCAAGTGGCTGAGTCGGGTCTTTGATGTATTCCGACATGGGGAACTGATACAGGGTCAGCTGACACAGGAAAATATAGAAGAGGGAAAGGGGTAACCTACGTAATGATCGTTCTTCTTCATCGTTACAACCCATGGCACGTTGTCAAAGGTCACGGCACGCAACCGGAAGTATGTATTGTCTGGAATTTTGCTGACCTCCCTGACAAAGCTGTCAAGGTTCGGCGTCGGAACGCCATTCACGGCGGTGATGAAATTCGTAGGCGCGAGGCCATACTGGTAAGCTGGGGAACCGCGACTCTGCATGAAGTTAGTGCCAGAACTACATCAGACCCCTGAAGTATAATGTCGAAACATACCCTTGCGCTGACATACACCTCGCTGTGCAGCTTGGAAATTTGCTGACGTACGGCGTGGTGCGGCTTCTGCAGCACAGCGCCGCAGAAGACAACGGCACGGTCGGTCTCCAGGTCCTCGGTAGGTACCGTCGGTAACTTCATTTGCATCTCCTGTCCATTACGCACGATAAGAGCGTCAAGAACCTCCTTCTCGTACATTTTGTCCAGCTCAGAGACGCGAGTGATGAGTTGACCGTCCAAGGTCAAGATGATGTCCCCTTCCTGTAACGCATCCGCAGTGGACGTGAACTCCGGCGGAGGACAGTCGACTTTGCGCACCATGAAGAGTTGGTGCCGCGATGGGTTCGCCTGGGCTACCTTCTGAATCCACTCCTCCGAGACACCCATGATGCGGGCCTGACTCATCTGAACCACATAGCTCTCCATGTTGAGGATTCGCAGCTTCGGGATGATCCCTTGCTGAATCTTGGATGTAACGGGCAGGAGCGCCGGCGTGGCGAAACCGAGATGGTATTCCACATCCTTGTGAGAGCTCGGAGTGCGCTCTCCCAGATAGTTAAGCCACAAAGCCTGGACTACTCCGTCTTCCCCAATCAGCACACCGTTCGTGCACTGCCCACTCAGGCCCGTGTCAACCGTGATAGCATCGAGGTTGATCGCACGGTAGCGCGGCGCCGAGGCATTCGCGGGGATTGAGACGGTGGTGATGTCAGTAACGGCTGTCTTGGCGACCACGATTCGGAAGTTCTGATTGAAGCCCACGAAGATGGTCTCCTGGCCCTGCTTGATGTACTCGGTGCTCAGCTTGGCGCTCTGAACAGGAGCCTGTACAAGACTGGGATCGTATTGGATGATGGTATAGTTTTGCAGAGGATGCAAGAAGACAACCTTGGCCGCGACAATGATCGAATCGGCCACAGTGATGTTGATGTCACAAAGGTCATAGGGCACAATGGCCCTGGACACCACAACCAGACCCTTTTCGGCATCGATCACCAACCCGAAACCGGTTTTCTTGGCTTGCGGGTACCCGTCGAGCTTCAAGGGCATGGTGCATGACACACGTACAAAGCTGCGCACGATATCCGAAACCGCAGCCTGACTGACACCGTCGAGATGGATGAAATCAGCCTTCCTCGGAACCGGAGTCTCAGCCGGCACGGGGTCAGCAAGATCAGAAAAGTCCCATAGACCTGTCTCGTCGTTACGAATGGCCATTCGCATCTTGGGATGCCAGTGGCGGTCTATGTACACGATGCTGGTCCCCCGCGTGTGAAGATCGCGAATGTGACGATACAAGATGACCACCCGGGACCGATCGGGGATCGTCTTCATTACTGCAATAAACTCGTCCAGATTCCGGGTCGGGCGTTTGTCCACAGCATCAATGATCCATCCCGACAGGGTATTCTCCAACTTGAAAGAGCCTGCTGCTTCGCAAACGTACACTCCTCGAGTGGCGATGGCATAAAGCCGGGCCTGCTGATAGGACAGATTGTGAAAAGTGCCACCGGCCACCGTCACAAAACGGTCTGGCGTGATGGCGTGCAGATCGCCAACCTCACATTCCACCTCCACATTCTGACCGCCTCTCTGAACCAGCAAACGTACGGTCTTCCCGACGCTTGAATCGAGGATATCGTCCAATCGGATGAACTGCGTGAGGAGCTCCCCGTTTACCTGCAGCAGGACATCTCCTTCTTCGAGCTTCCCATCTGCGGGCCCTTCGGGTAGTATGATTTCAGCCACCAACATACTGGTCTCATGCGGCGAGGCTTTGCGAACAGCAGCCTCCCATTCGGAAGTCAATCCCAAGCGACGACACTCATCGAAAGGCTTGAGTATCCACTGTGTCTGAATCGTACCCCGGGCTACAGGCTCACCGCGTTGGATGCACTCCAACGCACGCAGAGGGCGGTCTAGGGGAAGAAAATAGTCCGTAGCCGCACCATCTGCGCGACCTCCAGCCTGTAACGCGATTGCATGACCGTCGATATTGACGACAGGGCTGCCGGAACTGCCACCACTAGCGGCTGCCGCGGCCTGGATATAGTTCGTATTAAAATCACAGTAACCATCACCATACTCCGGCGCGTTCCTGTCGAGCCGACTGATGACACCCGACAAAATGCTCAACTTCTCCCCTGCATCATTACCCACAACTCGAATCTCACAGCCCACACGGGCCGCCTCCGGTCGAAGCTTGAGCTCAGTCAATTCCATGTATCGAATCGCCTTGGGGTCGAATTTCAGAATACCAAAGTCGTGCACGGGATCTCGATAAACAGGACGAACGTCGCACTGGAAACCAACCCCCGAACGTCAGCACTGCAACTATGCCATATCCCCAAGCCCAGACACTCAACTCACCTCCTCATGATTATCAAATATACAATAACCCCAGAACGGACCCGCACAAACCACATGGCGATTCGTCAGGATATACCCCCGTTCGGCATCAACCACAAACCCCGTCGCCTGACTACTCATCGACAAGTCCGTATCAAACGAACAAGTCTGGCAGAAATGGATCGACACCACGCTCTTGACCACCTTCTCGATGGTAGCCTGCCACTCCGGCGAATCCGCCTGAGCGGGGCCGATAGGCATCAACCGGCTTGTACCCTCCTCATCCTCGACATCGTAGACGGTCCCGTTCGCGGGCGTCGCGTCCCCGGGCGTTAATGCCGAGCTCTCGGGTTTCAGGTGTTTGGCAGGACGCTCCGCGGGGGCGGCGACTGAGCTGCGCTTGCGCTTTGTGCTGGTCTCACCATTCAGATCCATGCTCTTCCGAGAATTAGACTGAGGTAGGGACGGACGGCAGCGAAGAGAGGGTGCGAGGGAGGAAAGCAGTCGGTTGTTCGTCTGAGGTGTTGCAACGCTAGTCCACCACGAGAGAAACCGATGCCGATGCGGCAGTAGACGACCAAACTGTTTGTGTGGCGATACAGAAGTAACACCGTAGACGCTAGGCGATCGTGAACTACTCCAGGGAAATCGAACAGGCTTTGTGGAAATTCGACGTGTAGAGGGATATGACGATGGGGGCGGTGCGAAAGTGGAAGTAGCAGTAATGTTAGTGATAGTAGCGACCGGCGGGCTCCTTTTGTATAAAGGGAGCAAGACGCAAGACATTCACAAGACACCCCCTCAAAGCCAGCTAGGAATAGAAGAGGGGAAGCAACGAAAAGAAGGAAGGAGGAGGGTAAGATGAAGGTTGTGAGAGGATGTCAGGCACTCAAAGAGCTTCCCAAGGTTCTTTTTTTTTGCAGGGCGGACAGCCGCAGCGCAGGCCACTGATTGGGCAAGGCCCTTGCCCGACAGTGGCTGGAAGGGGGATCAAGTGATGATGTGCAGTCATGTCTTCTGACCATTTCTATAGAAAAGAGTATAAATCTTGAAGAGAGCGACCGAGACAAGTTGCAATCGAAGCGGATCGTCGTCCGAGTTGAATGAATTGGTGTTCTACCCTGGTCTTCTACATGTCAAACAGCACAAATCCCACGACTACTGCCATGACAACGTCATATCCGGAACGGAACCCAGGACACCTCCTCATCTCCATGGAGCTGTAATATACATCACTTCCTAGTATACAAGTAGATACAAGTCAAGAGGATATATGACACTTTCTTATCCTCGCGAAACCACCTACAATAGTCAGGGACAGTAGAGCAGTTCCCAACTCCGGCTAAGGGGGACCTTCCATATCCACAGGACAAGGAGAAGAAAGTGTCGATAGCATCCGAGAAATCCTCGAGTGCCTGTCCGTTGCGCTTGGTGTTGAACACTGCAGGTTCTGGGCCCATCGCGACTGGCGCCATTTTGCTGTAGATAAAGAAGGCTAGATGAAAGAGATCTCCCTCTTGGTGGAGATTGAGAGAATGGAAGAGCTGGTGGTGGTTATGGAGAGATTCCTTGAGTTCTCTCCTCCCCGTCAATGAACGATCAAGCGATTATTCGTAGTTTGTCGTCTAACAGTGAAAAGTCTGGAACCGGATCGTATATTCGCAGTTTCGTCGAATGTCCCCTGGCGCACCATTTCTGCGTAAAAGCGTAATTTTACGCCCAGCAATGATCGCTAATGGCTACCTCGGGTCTTGCTAGTCAAAGGCCATCAGGTACAAAGTAATCAGCGTAGCGACGAGCGGATGAAAACCGAGAACCGCGCAGGTAAGCCCTAAAAAGAGGGGCGTTGACTTTTGTGTTCCCTTTCTTGTGCTGGCCGATTGTCCCCAAATGTGATTTCAGGCGCGAATGCGCAACAATGAACCCTACAAATGACCATACTCAAACCGCCGACTCGGCCGCGGGTGATGGGCTCGGTTTGCCGTTGCCAGGCGTACCTTGCGGGCTAGGTTGGGGGGTACCCACGGCACCTTTCGACGTCCGGAACAGCTCATTCAACTTGTTATAGAGCTCGTTTATCGTTGGCATATTGGGAGGCGGCGTCATGATGGCCGGAGCGGCGGGAGCCACACCACCAGATTTCTTAGCCCGATCGGCAATAGTTGCCAGATAGGCCAGGTTGGCCTGCAGACGACGCATACACTCGACATACTCGAGACTGGGCTTTTGCGTCGGACCCTTGGCCGCGTCGGAGGCCTGGTCGGAAGTTGGTGATGGATTGTTGTCTTGCGATCCTTGTTGATTGGGAGGCCCACCAGCCTTACCAGCCGCCTGCAGATTGACGACCTCTTGCAACAAGACCGAATTGATATCCAGAAGGGTCGAGACACGAGCCTTCTCTCGCGCTGCCGCTGCCTGACTTTGCCCTGCTGCCGGAACGGGTGCTTGCTGTTGATTTGGCTGCTGGACAGGACGTTGTTGTTGTTGTTGTTGTGATTGTTGTGCTGGAAGCATGCTATTCGCAGAGACTGAAGCCATGTTTTGGGTGAAGTTTTGCGCCATACTCGGGGACATGTTCGAGGTCGGGGTGCCCTGAGGCGGCACGAACTGGCTAAGAGTGGCTGGAACAGGAGGTTGGGTGAAAGCAGCAGAGAAATTCCCGTGGGGTCCTGTAAAGCGGGAAATTGCGCATCACGTTAGCGGCTTGCCCAAGACTCTAAATCATCCATGGCGTCGTCCGAAGAAGTAGTGGGACTGGGTACTCCGTAGATAACTATCCAAAACGACGGGGCAAGGCAAGAGTTCAGGAATGACGCTAGGATAACGATCCATGCAGATATGACAGTTGTTTCAGAACATTCATCAGGCAGTTAGACTGAGGAAGACATTCATTCAGAGCAAAACAATCTTAAGAGGGCAAGTTTCTCGACCGACATGACGACCGACGAACCAGGTGACGGGGACAATGCACCCGAAGCAAAGGAAGGGGACCGGTGAATGGCTAGAAGACACGAAAAGGGAAACAAAAAAAGAAAAAAGAAAAGATAAACCAGGTAACGGCCATGGAGATCATAAGTCAACGTACCAGACGGATGCTCGGGGAAACCAGACGGCATCATAGCTCCACCGGGACCGCCAGACTGCAGAGGCACAGGACCGAAAGAATGCTGCTGATGGGATTGGGGGACCGGCGTCTTGGATTGGGAAAATGAGGAGGAGGGCATAGCATTCGGATAGAAAGGGAACTGCTGTCCGTGTGGACTCTGTGTGGTGACAGGATAGCCTGCGTTGTGCTGCTGCTGCAGAGCAGGATAGCCGGCAGCGTTGGGATCCATTTTCTTATTCACAGTGGTCCGGTCCGATTAGATTTGGCTCCTGAAGGAATTTCCCCCCAGTGTTACGCTCGGCGGCCTTTTCTTCCCGCTCGATCTATATTAATCGCTTGACGAAGGGGGATGCGTAAAAAAAAAAGACTTGAAATAAGGCACCGCACGGACGATAGGCAGGGCCCAGTTAGAGTGACAGATTAAGATGCGAAGAAGACCACCTAGCTTAGCTAAGGTAGGACCGTAGACACTAGACAGTTGTCTGACCCGTCAGGGAATCCAGGGATGAGTCGAGTCGCGTTAGTGTAAGAGCACAGAAAGGGTCAAGAATGATGATGATTGGCTCAAAGAAAAAAGGCAGTTCCAAATAAGTCGGTACCTAGTCAATAATAACAACAATCACTAGTAGATATCTAAGGGGTGGAACAGTTCATTTGGCTAATGAACATGAACAGGATCGACTCCGGGGGGCGTTTTCTTTTGCTGGGAGCCTGGGACAACTCGATTCATCGACAACTTGGCCTCGGAAGGGGAATTATTCGTCCGCCGAATTTCCGTAGCGGACTAATGCAGCGGCTTGCTGGACAGTGGGTACTGCAATGGGGGTCTGAGGACAGCGTCTTGACTCTTGATGCCTTTGACTCAGAAAAAGCACAGATACGGAGGATATGGAATCTCTGTCTGATAGATCAAACTTTACGAAGAAGGATGAAAGAGACGGAATTGGCGACTGAGTTCATTATGTGTAATCCTAATACAGGTAAAATACAGAATACCAGAGATTAGCTCTGTATTTTACCAAAAAGTGGTTACACCGTTACGGATAAGAGTCAACCTGAGGCATAAGGTCAATATTATCAAACATCGACTGCAACTGTCGAGGATGCAACGTTATACTTTTATGTAGATGGGTACAAAGTAGGGTTGGGATGGAAGGCTCTATTGATGCTAACCCTTCTAGAACTTCATCCTCCCCACCTCGACTGTTCTAGTCGAATTGCTCATTTGTACGGAGTACAGCAGCACTTAATCGCCAGACTGCTCGGGCTACTAAGGTATGGATAACCATATCCACAGCCCTGTAATAACAGCTATGAAATGACGATCTCGATGCATAACCATTCCAAATCTCATTTACCCATCTGTATTGGACCTGAGCGAAGTGACAAGTGTAGGTTTGAGAAACCTTTATCTGGGATGTGGACGAGCAGAGTGAAGGACATCCCATGACAAATCCTGCAGTGGTTTCAGAATCCAGCAGGGACTGTCAGTAGACAGCTGTCAAAATGGACATTCTGATAGTCTATCTACTTCTGCTCAGCGCGGTTCCATGGAAACAACTTGACCTTCATCTTCGGCCGAAAGTTTTCCATCGATACCAAAATGATCATCGGTTCTCAGCCACACTGACAGCTAATATATATGATATGATAAATCATATCTCTCATGCACATCAGCCATTGAGAGCTTGACAAAACACACCAAGGTCTCTCCTCTCTTTTGTCTCCATTTCCTCGACGTGAGTTCCGACTTCCGAGATGTCTCTATCAGGCAAGGGCAACCATGGCTGATCGGATTATTACCCTGTACTCCGTAGTAAGTAGTTTGATATAAGTCGAAAAACAGTAATACTAATCAGAAGTAAATTCTGGCTGTGATCACAATTGCAGCCTGCTCGATCGATCCCCAACCATGCTGATATCTGAACTCAATCGGAAAATAAGTGTCTTGCGTAGAGCTAGTTGCCAAAGGGTGAGAGTGTGATTTACCCTGATGAGTGGCTCGTCTATTGCCCCCATCTCCAGAGCATTGCCCTAAACCGTTGAGTTTCAGCCTTCGCAACCGCGACAAATTCTAACGACATTGTTATTATTGATCTGTCATTCGAGAAGTCTCCGCAAGCGGACTCGGCCAATGAAAGGGCTTGCCATCGATGCTCTCCATTTTTCAACATTTGTGAGTTTAGGATAGCCCATCCGATCATTAATCACTGTATGCCAGTCCACAAAGTATGCTGCGGCACATCAATCAGGCGATCTCGACTCAGGCCATTCAAATAAGTAAGCGTATGATGTCCATGTGATGAGAGAGGTGTATTTACCCGATAGAGCTGCAGCATCAGGGCATCCTCGACTGCAAAGTCATGCCTCTGTCTGAAGCATTGTTCTTGTAAACATAGGCCATGCAGCTCAGTGCACTGACTTCTTGAGTCCTCCAGCGCCATATTATGCTTCCCCTTCGTTAAGTCCGGATACGACCGACTCATGCAAGGAGCATTGAGTACTAGGTAACCGAAACCCAGCTATCCATGGTCCCGGGAATAGACAGACATCAATCTGGCAGTAGCTCGAAGATTGGACCGTGGAGAACCCTGCCAGTGGTGTATAATTCCGGAATCATCGCAGGTAATTAGTTCTATCACTATTTCTGCTGTCGATCAATAGTTGATACACCCATCTTTTGTCCCATTGCAAAAGGAGCTGTTGGCCAATTCACACCTCTCATTGGATGTCATCGATTGGACACGGCTGTATCGGTAAGTTCATTATCATAGCAGATCAGCCGCGTCTTCTGCGAGTCGAATGCTTGACCTTCCTGTTCGCGTGATGCAGTCCGGCGAGGGCAAACCGAAAATTACCAATGTTGCGAGAGCGATCAATGGAACTATTGATCTCAATGATTTGTACTTACCCTAAGGAGCTGAAGTCAGCTTGACCAATAGGCGATCGTGATCCTGTGAGCTTCGCTGTCTAGTGTCTAGACAGTTGGCCTCTGGAGATTGTTAGATGCACAAGAGCGTTAGTTCGTAAGCCCAATGCAGCTGAGCGGGGAGCTCCTACACAATACTGTGCCGCATAGCTCTATGCATGGCAATGACGCAGCCTTGGCCTCGCTGGACTAATCAATGCAATTGATTACGGTCTAGGTCTTGGTGCAGGTTGCTGCTTTATCTGTAGGATGTTGGCAGGTGGAGCTGTTCCGTGCGTATAAAGCACAGTGGAAGATCATAAGACAGTTTCAAAGCCCAGAGGGACCCCATGAGCTTCAGTTTGTGGCACTTGTCCTTCCTACCGATCTCTTCTGTACCTGGTTCTCTTAAGTCTTGATCAGACATGTCTTCGGAACGTAGGTACCACCCGCTCTCTCGCACCTGATTGGAATCGGGAACCCTGGATCGTTGACTAGTCTTCGCATGTTAGATGACTCGAAATTACCATGCTCGACTGGTGACGGATTTGAGTATTTGCAACAACTGGTACCAATACCAAACATCCAAGAAGCTAGTTCCGGGTTTCAAAAACTGATTCAAGCGGGTGCAGACGCCAGAGTCAACGGATGCCCAGCTCGGGAGTCTCACATATGGGCATTTTGCCATCATTTATACTGATCACAATGGCAAAGTTCGGTTTCAAACTTCCCCTTCAATTGCGAATAGCTGCCAGACGATCCTGTCCCCCATTGTTATGGAGAACTTTCTGAAAGCAGTGGCAATATCGAACAAAGACGGCTTGTTTCCCAGTCCAAGTAAGACCTTCGGATGTTCATGAAAGAAATCGACTGACGATTGAGGCTAGACTCCTCCATGCACGAATCACATTCGGCCAGAGGGAGAAGCCCGCTATCGCCACAATCGCTTGTGATAGGAGAGGCCAATGACGTGACGGGCGAGGACGATGTAAATCAGGCGGAGCTAAGAGGCACAGCTGAACAGCGTCGTACTGATTATGGCCGTCACGCAAAAAGGAAGAAAAAGTTTCATGAATGCGTAGTGCCGATAAACATCACTTGCAATCAGAAAGCCATGTTGCCGCTCCGAGACCGAAGGCTTCTGCGAAAATACTATCAAAAAGCGTTCGAAAGCCTGCAGCAAATCAACTGTCGAACCATCGCTAAAGCATATGTCAAACTCGTCGAGCCTCGAAAGCAAGTCAACTATCCTTATAACGGGCGAAAACTTATCGCTGGTATCTCTCGACAGCTCGATCCAGAGATGACAAAGCCAGCCTGGTGGCCACTTGGTGTCACCCATAAAGAGCCCGACCATCTTCCCAAAGCGGGTAAGACACAATGAGTCTTTCTCAGTGTTCAGAAGCTGACCGTATCAGAGAGAGTTCGATTGCTTGTACACATTCTCTGCGAGCTCCGCGACAGCCGCGGCATCACCGTCGCAAAGCTTAGGGAGGCCGATCAATCCATCCGCCGTCAGATTACACCACCGGAGCGTCTGCAGGTACTGGACGAGATCTATCATGTCCGAGAAGAAGAGGAGAGCTACCTGGATGACCACCTCGGTACGTAGCTCTCGAGTAATCAACATGAAAAGAGGCAAGCTCATTTTGTGACAGATGAACAAGCAGTTGTGTATATCTCGCGAGCACACTTGCCGGATGAGATAGACGCGAAGGATGCTGGTTCCCCCTTGGCGGAAGGGATGAACCCTGATGTCAACTCTGTTTACAAAAGAGAGAGTTTTGACATGCAGTCCCACACATCAGTCTTTCCGTCAACGGGGGCCTTTTTCATCAGTCATACTGGTACAGCAAGCGGGAAGGGTGATCATGGAATCATGCCTGCCAATTTGTACTCCTGCCCCTCCATAGCATTACCGACTCTCAGGTTACAGAAGGACGTTCACGAAGGGCAACATCCGTTCTCTGTAAACATTCCACCGGCTCCCGTCTTCCCCCATGCTCCTTCTGCTGCCCCGATGAACGTTCACTCCTTCCCTCTGCGATCTTATCATGAACCGAATTTCAGTCATGGGCAGCAAGATCAGGCTGGACCTGACATGGGCGTTCCTGGCCATGGTATAGAGAGCTGTACAGACCCGTACTACTTTAACTTTTGACATGCGATGATTGAGCGGCTGATAAATCTGCCTGCAAAGTTGTCTTTGGGAAGGATTTGCTGGTTGGACTTTGGATTGCACATAAAGCTTGATTTCGGTTCTTGTGGATTATGTGGTGGGCGACCTGACACGAGCCAAAGCACATATTCACGTTCATCAGTGTACCTTATATAGACAGAATTTAATAGTAGTTGAATGTAATCATGAAGTGTCAAGATCTGGCTCGAAGATCTGGAGACATTTTGAAGGAGGAAGAGGAAAGAGAGACTTCGTTTGGAGGGATGTGAGCAGAACAAGATACCTTCCTAATTGGCTGTGCACCTGACTTTCCAAGAGTGGTACCTACAAACTGCTGGTTAGCCCCCGCCCTAAGATGCTCGAAGCGAAGTTCAACAACTGGGAATCTTTCATAGATGACCTCTCTCAGTGGCGATAATCGCATACATAATAGGTATGGATGATTTACGAACAGGCCTGATCCGCGCTTCAGCAATGAAACTAATGAGAACAAAAGCTTAGATGCCCAAGTGCATTCATGTTGCAAGTGCGAAACCTATTTCAACTAGTTACAAGAAAGAAGAGAAAAATAGCAAAGGAATGAATCTGCTAGGGCAATGATTCATTTACAGGCACTGTGAATACCAGTCATTCTGCTTCTGGCAAGTGGTTCCACTGACACAAGTTGTTGGACCGGTCCAGCCGATACCGCCACACTGTCCCCATTTCTGAGAGACTCCAGTAGATGTTGCACTTGCTGTAGTAGTAGAGGTCTTCGTGGTGGTGGTCAAGGTAGAAGAGGCAGAGGTGGTCGTTGTGGAGGTGCTTGCTCCAAGTCCCGTCAACAGGCCATTGTATGCTGGCTTCTTAACATAGTTATCATCCCAGGGGCATGCGGCGCCGTAGCCTGAGAACACGCTGGGGACCCAGGAGTACTTGTCGGTCCAGTCCCAGATGGTGACACCAACACAGCCAGTGGTGGCAACGCATGCTGCGGCCACGCCCTGATAGTCAGTGGACTGCTGGGCCAGCTTTGCATCGGTCGAGGGCAGCTGCATGCGGATGTCAAGTTCGGTATAGGCCACCTCAACACCGAGAGCAGTGTAGCCCTTCAAAACGCTAGTCAGAGCCGATTGGCTTGGAGTACTACCGACGATGAAGTGTGCCTGGAGACCGACGCCATCAATCTTCGCTCCGTAGGCTTTGATCATCTTGACGATGTTCTGCGCAGCAGTCGCTTTGGCTCCAGAGTATTCAATGTTGTAGTCGTTGTAGTAGAGTTTCACGCTGGGGTCTGCTGCGGCAGCAGTCGCGAATGCAATGGGAATGTATGCTTCGCCGATTGTCTGGTAGAAGATGGAATTACGGAAGGTACCGTCCTCGTTCAGGGCTAGATGGACACTTGTCAGTTTTGGAGGTTTTGGAGGTACTATTTAAGATAGCAGTTATAGATGGAGCCAACGAACCTTCATTGACAACGTCCCAGGCATAGCACTTCCCCTTGTAGTGAGTCACCACGTTGGTGATATGGTTCTTCATGGCTGCCAAAAGCGTTGCATTGGTCCACGATCCGCTGGAGACTGTCGACCGTTAGAGACAATTCAAGAATCAAAGAAAAATCTCCTTACCCCAGCTGGGAAGCTGACTGTGCCAGACCAGAGTATGGCATCGCATCAACTGGCCGTTCGCGTTGGCCAGATTGACAACGGCGTCTCCGTTTGTGAACGAGAAAGAATTCTGAGAAGGCTCGGTGGCATCCCACTATCCATCAAAGCAAGCAATTAGCTCCTGGCCTGGCACAATGCTTCGGGAAAAAGATGTAAACAAACCTTCATGGAGTTTCCGGGAGTGATCTGACCGAAATCATCGGTGTTGCTCAACTGAGCGACGTACGCAGTGTCCGTGAGCTCTGGGTTATCAGTAGCGGATCCGAAGTACTTTAGTCCTTTGGCTTTGGCTGCTGTGTTCAGGCCCGCTCCATATACGCTATAGCGATGTCAGAGCCATTTCTCCTCTCATAAGGAGTGGGTAACGTACAGAGGCAGAGCAGCCACGACTGCTGCGATTGAAGAAAGATGAACCATCCTGCACAGCACTTTGTGAGATACGAATTGGATGCGAATAGGTGTCTAGTCAACCGCAAAAGAACTCCATTGCGCGGGACTGGAAGCCCGTTCTTATACGAACGAAGGCTATCATGATTCTAGTAGAAGGACCAGGCTAAAAAGACATGGTCCTCAATGTTCCAGATTCATCCAGGTCACTTCAACCGGCGCTAACGAGCCATCGACGCTCAAACGGCCGGCATAATGTCCTTGGTATATTTCTTCAGGACAAGGATAATTGTGAGGGGCATGTGGCCTGTTCGGGGCGTGCCACCGTGGTAGATTGGTGCAGGAAGGAATTGACCACAGGGACTTCATCGTTTTCGGCAGCATGACCGGCTCGAATCCAGCCAAGAAACAGTAAACACCCCTGTTAGTCGAATAGTTCTCCGAAGCAAATCAAGCAATGATAGCTTTTAGCCTGAAAATAGACACGAACGCTCGTATGAGAGAGAGCCGATGAATGTCTCGGTTGGCAGTGAGTGAGTAGGTGGGTCAACGATGATTGTGTAGGGAGCGTGATTAATCTATCTTCAACACCAAAGTGACCAGACGAGTTAGTCTTGTTAACGAGGGGTTCAAGGTGTTTCAGCCGTCATTCCAAGTGCGACAGTCGATGTTTTGACTCTTTTGACACCTTTGGGTTAAACGACCCTAGGCAATCTTTCAATCGCGAACCATGATCAACATTGGAATAGGACCCAGGTACCAAACGGCAACGGCCGACTCCCACTCTTCAGCTTCAATACGTCAAACGAGGAAGCGAGACCGAATCAATCTCCTTTGTTCCAAAAGTGGAGTTCTTCAGGGGAGGAAAGACAGGAGGCTTCCCCGCATTTTGTCCGGATAAATTGGAACAAGGAGTGGCTGACCATCTATTTCGATTTAGATGAACTGGCTTCCAGTCAATACTTAGAAGACATGCCTTTCGTCAATAGCGAACTAACTTGAGTCGATTTCATCTATTTCCTTCTATATAGCCATAAAAGTTCGTTTCGTAGGATATTCGGCCCATAGTTCCGGCCCCATTCGGCAGTTTGTCCATACAGCCTGCAGAACACCCTATGTCTGTGCATCAATGAAGCTATAGTACCCCAAGTGCATATTCAGGGATCGAAGATCGGAGAAATACACGAATCTCCTATGGAGTGCAGAAATGTGGAGCGATGCCTCTTTCCTGGGGTAGATAGATAGCGGGGACAATGCCATTATTGCCCAACGTTGAACCTGCCAGGCCATGGTGTAGTGAGCTCAGCAGCATTCAGCCCAACGGATACTGCGCATGCAATAGCCAGTGCATCCCGGGCGAAAGTAGGCCGGTTGACGAAAATTCCCACCGGTGTTTACTCCTGAGTATCGCCGGACTAAAGCATCAGCCCTCTTTTCTGGCCTTCATCTCGGCAATGAATTTTGCACTCTTGGAGGTCGGTATCACGTAGATCTTGACAAGTTCGTCGACGACCTCAACCTTGCCCCCGCTAAGGATCTGCAGGAGTGGTAGTTTCTTGCCGGCCTTGATCAAGCCCCCTGTAACGGTCTCCATGAAGCAGTCGACGCTGTTGATCTTATACTCCTGCTTGGTGTCCCATGGCAATGGGAAGATGTAGTCCAGGTGATCTTCAATAGATGTCATCTCAGAGAACGATTTAATAAAGTCTGTTTGGGCGTCCATGTGGTACAGTAGCACGGTCGGGAACTCAAGGGTACTTTCGGGAGACAAGGGATCGGGAGTTAGCCGGATGTGCGCATCCTCCATTTCAGGCGGTTGCGCTGTCTTGCGAGTCCTGATTTGTCTGGCACGTAGTGCAGTACTGAGAAGCAATTTTTCCTTCTGTACTCGCTCTTCCTCCGCCTTCTTGCACGCCGCAATACGCTCCAGAGTGGCCTTGCGATCGGCGATTTTGGCGGCCACTTGTTGTATAGACTTGTTGTTGGGGTCAAGAGCGAGACCCCGAGAGGCGGCATCTTCGGCCTCCGGAAGCTTGTCGAGGGAATATAGAGCCATCGAGGATCGATAATAAGCTTTGATATTGTTCGGGTTGAGCTTGAGAACAGAGGCGCAGTCGAGGGTTGTAGAACGGTAATTTTCTGGGCCAAATTAGCAACTTGTGCCACGGCGTTGCCATAAAGCAGAGACGTACTCAATTCCAGATTGCATAGAGCGCGGTTGATATACGAAGCCTCCTCGACCTGCCGCAGCAGCTTCTCCTCCTCTTTGGGATCCTCTGGTTTATCCCACTTATCGAGTTTAGCTGTCACCACTGCAAGAGCCTTGGTATAGAACTCCTTGGCATCGATCCATCTCTTTTCTTTTGCTGCCTCGTTGCCTTGCTCGCGGTAGCTCTGGGCGACTTCACCACGGGTACCTTCGTTCTGGAGAGCTTGAAGGGCATCAAGCATAGGATTTTCACCATCTGTGCAGCGAGTGCATCGTCAATCTTCGGTCATGGATATTGTATTTACCGGTTGTGGAGGATAGGCTTACTTTCGTCGCCCGCCTGACCAATGTCCGTCATGAACAGCGGGGTCTTATTCATCATGGCCCAAAGCTCCTCCGAAGTATGCGACTTGACCGACGCCATGGTCGGCGGCAACTTGGGTGCCCTGGGGTCATGTTCGAGCTCCTTCAATCTCTCTTCGTTGATCGGAAAGGGAGTCTCTTCCACGGCGGGAGAAGGGCCGTCATTGTAAATTTTGCTGGGAGGCGCTTCGGTAGCTGGAGGCTGTTGGTTAAGATTGAGGCGCTCGTCAAAGTCGTCTGGAAGCTCCTCTATTTGACCCATCGTGCTATCTGTGGTCGAATAAACAAATGTTTGAGATCTTGATCAAAAAAGTCTCACCAAATCAGTACCTAACAAATGCGATCAGAACAAACGTTGCAAACAAGAGGGGATAGGGTTTGCCCTTCTGCCTTGTTGCCTAGGAATTTGGAAGGCGGTGAGCTGTCCTCCCGCAAGGGATGGTGACATTCTGGAAGTTGATCCCCCATGATAACAACACACCCAGGTAGTTGGGTAGATCACATAATGAGTCTTGCTGGAAAGAGGAGTTGAAATGTCAGAAATAGTTTGAAAATGTCAAGAAATTTCAGACACATGAAATTTTATTTACCATCGCTACCCCGGTACCGGCGAATTGCGGGGGATCTACATCTGTATCTAGTTCAGTGTGCATGATGCTATCATCTATGGCCTATTGATAGTTGTTTCATGATATGCCCATTGGAATTCGAAATTGCACCGTTCCATATCAATCGGATGCGTACTGAGTCTTGAAATGGTCATTCTATCTCTGATCGACCGTAATGTTTGTTATCAGATCAATTGCGTTCCTGAAGACACGAATTTGACAGTGCACTAAGCACAAGTCACACCATCCTTCAGCATCCATTTCTTTTACGACCTTTTAGCCCCCAGATGACTCGTTCAAGAGAATGCCGTGTCGCTCAACTTGTATCTACTCGACTGGGCTGAATCGGACGAACCCCGCGGTCTCGTCAACCCCGCAGCATCGGTTTGAAGACCGATAGCCGATGAGGGTCTACATGCTTATATACTTCTTTGTCAACAGGATACCGGCTTTTTGGATTCATCAAGCTGTAAATCCAGTCTGTGGCATTGCGTTGGACATTGATAAATTCCTGCACTTGTCTGTTATCAGCACCTAATCAAAGGAGGAGATGGCGACTACTTACAACATCCTCGTCCTTCCCGGCGATGGGATCGGTCCCGAGGTCATGAACGAAGCTGTCAAGGTGCTGAAGGTCTTTGAGAATCACAACAGAAAGTTCAACCTCCGGCAAGAGCTCATCGGCGGCTGCAGTATCGATGCACACGGGAAATCCGTCACAGAGGAAGTCAAAAGAGCCGCTCTGGAATCCGATGCCGTGCTCTTCGCAGCAGTCGGGGGTCCAAAATGGGACCACATCCGTCGTGGCCTTGACGGGCCGGAGGGGGGCCTGCTGCAACTCCGTAAGGCGATGGACATCTACGCGAATCTCAGGCCGTGCTCGGCCAGTTCGCCGAGCGCGTCAATCGCGAAGGAGTTTAGTCCGTTCCGCCAGGAAGTTATCGAGGGTGTAGATTTCGTCGTGGTACGAGAGAATTGCGGAGGAGCGTATTTCGGAAAGAAGATCGAAGAAGAAGATTACGGTACGTCGTTGTCTTCAACCTATGTGCTCATCGAAGACTGACTCGGCCACGCCCGTAGCAATGGACGAATGGGGCTATAGCGAACGCGAGATCCAGCGTATCACCCGTCTCTCTGCGGAGATTGCCCTCCGCCACAACCCCCAATGGCCCGTCATCTCCCTGGACAAAGCCAATGTGCTCGCCTCTTCGCGGCTCTGGCGGCGCGTCGTTGAAAAGACTATGACTAGCGAGTATCCCCAGGTGAAGCTAGTGCATCAGCTGGCGGACTCAGCGTCGCTGATTCTCGCCACCAACCCGCGCGCCTTGAACGGCGTCATCCTAGCCGACAATACATTCGGCGACATGATTTCCGACCAGGCCGGTTCGATCGTCGGGACCTTGGGCGTCCTTCCCAGCGCCAGTCTCGATGGGTTGCCCAGTGAGGCGAGAAAGAGGACTAATGGTCTTTACGAGCCGACACATGGCTCTGCACCGACGTACGTTGCTTTCCCTTGTTTCCCGTTATTCCTCCCTGTTTCACCACGAAGCACAAGCTGACATTGTCATCTGCAGAATCGCGGGCCAGAACATCGCCAACCCCGTCGCCATGATCCTCTGCGTGGCACTCATGTTCCGCTATTCGTTAGACATGGAGGCCGAGGCGCAGCAGATCGAAAAGGCAGTTCAAGGTGTTCTGGATGCTGGAATCCGCACCCCTGACCTGGGAGGGAGATCGGGGACGAATGAAGTTGGGGATGCGATCGTTGCAGCACTGCAGGGCAGCTCATAACCATCTAATGCTTGCTTGGAAGAGGTGTGTCAGATTATGAAATGGCTGGAACCATCAGGATCAAGAGTCAGCTTAAGACAGAATCAAAGAAAGAAATCATCATCAGGCTTCTAGAATCTTCCCTCCAGAACATGGAGATGATATTTGAGCCTCACCTCTGGTTCACCAAGAACAATGGGCGCAATCAAGTGACGGGAGGTAACAAAGAGACCTACCCTCCCGATACCTGTAGTCAAACATCGCTTATTCTTGTTTTGCACGGCTTATACATATTGATTCAAAAAGGAAAAACAAAAGATGGTGGAATTAAACAGACTGATATAATATAAGGCATGCCTGCACCTACATACCGTCTACCTTCCACAATCTTACGGTGCTCTACCTCCTCTACAATCCTACAACGATTTCCCTACGAGATGACCAAAGACCTTTTCAGACACACATCCTACGTCTCACGTCTCCAAAACCTCCAGAAACTGGACAGCTCCTCCAAACGGACCCTCCTCTGCTCCATCGCCACCGACATCACAGCCACCTTCATCTGCATCTCCAAACACATCGAAAATGGCACTCTGAGCGATGAACACACCGGCTCCATCGAGGGCGTCATCGACATCATCAAAGGAACTGAGGTTTCGCAGCGCCGGATGCTGGAGCGGAAGGTGAAGCGGTATGCGCGACTGGCGCGACGGCTGAAGATCGAGAGAGAATGGATGCGGAGGGAGTTTGGGAAGTTGGTGAAGCGTGCAGATGCAGTGAATGGGCGGTGGCGGGAGAGAGTGCGGAATCTAGAGGTGGTAAATAAGGCGATGATGAGGGAGTTGGTGGTGAAGGGCAGGCAGAATGAGATGCTCAAAATGGGGATGGATAAGGGGGATGAGCGTCAGGCCGGCAGGGAGACAGCAAAGGCGACCGAGGATGAGATGTGTGTGTCAGAGTGTGAGTGTGAGTATCCCTGGTGATAGCAATGCAATCTCCTTGATGCTTCCATTTGTCCATCTTCAAAAATCCAGACTTCAAAATAGCATCAATTTCACGTGGCAATGTTGTCCGTAATTGGCCGAATTGTACTACGGCCGATGCTGTGGCAACACTGGCTATGAGCTGAATATTGCACTTGAAGACTGCCACGCCTTTTGAAAACAAGCTATTTGACATCAGTATTAATGTAGCTGGTCAATAGCAAAATTTCATCATGTCCAATTGCAGGATAGATAGTAGACTTGTGAGTCCTCAAAGGCGGGATCAAAGTTCCGAGGTTGAATCGCGAAGACGGTTTCTGATCGGGATTCACAGCAAACCCCCTGGCAGCTTTCACAGTCACAGGCATCATCCGACAATGATGATATCAAATTATCATCAAGAGGAATTTCTAAAGTCTCGTTCTGGAAGTTCACTGCGACAGTCACTGATCTCTTCTCATATTGCGATAGAGTACAGCCGGACTATCATGGCTTGCGAAATGCGAACAGAGGGTCTCGCGACGACTTCCCCAGGTGTTTCCAGAAATCCAGTCCAGATCCCGCGAAGAGAAAGCCAGTAATCGAGCAGATATATCAGATCATTCCATTTCCTGCTGTGAACAAATGGACCTCGGCATCTGAACACTTATCGGCCAGAATCTTTGCACTGATTCGGCCCGCGGATCCACCTCTTCCTTTCGTGCTCTTCATGTGCGACAACTGACAAGAAAGAGTCGACGCCTCCCAGTCTCAGTGACCTTCTTTTCTCTCCTTCATTGTACATTTCTTTCCTTTTCAACTAACGATACCCATCGTGTTCTGTCTTTTCTTGTTAGACTTCCTGCTGCCTCGCGTTTGATCTCAAGAGGCTTTGAGTGTTGACCCACCATATCGATACCCCAGAAAAAACACAATATCGGCCGAAATGAGCAGACCCGGGGATTATGACGCCGTCCGCAAGGACATCATTGCTCAGCTGAAGAAACCCGACTATGACGATGGCAGCGCAGGTCCAGTATTCGTACGGCTCGCATGGTTCGTTTTCCCTCTATTCCCTTTCATTCTGGCCCACTCGCCACTGACACCTCACTTTTCAATCATCCAGGCACTCCGCAGGCACATATGACCTCGAAACCGACACCGGCGGCTCCAACGGCGCCGGCATGCGCTACGAAGCCGAAGGCGGCGACCCAGCCAACGCAGGCCTCCAGCACGGACGGGCCTTCCTCGAGCCCGTGAAGGAAAAACACCCCTGGATCACATACGCCGATCTGTGGACACTAGCCGGCGTCGCAGCAATCAAGGCCATGGGCGGTCCCGAGATCGTCTGGAAGCCCGGACGCACCGACCTCGTCGACGACTCCAAGGTGCCCCCGCGCGGCCGGCTGCCCGACGCCACGCAGGGCGCCGAGCACCTCCGCGCCGTCTTCTACCGGATGGGCTTCAACGACCAGGAGATCGTCGCGTTGAGCGGCGGGCATAACCTCGGGCGGTGCCACAGCGACCGGAGCGGATTCCAGGGTCCCTGGGTGAACAACCCGACGCGGTTCTCGAACCAGTTCTTCAACCTGCTTCTGAAGCTGGACTGGAAGCCGAAGACGTTGGAGAACGGGGTCAGTCAGTTTGTGTATGTGGATCCGGACGCGGAGGAGGGCGACGAGCCGCTCATGATGCTGCCGACGGATATCGCGCTCAAGACGGACCCGGCCTTCCGTGTCTGGGTGGAGAAGTATGCGGCCGACAAGGAGCTGTTCTTCGACCACTTCGCCAAGGTCTTTGCCAAGCTGATGGAGCTCGGTATCAAGCGTGATGAGAACGACCGCGTCGTCAACTCGGATAATCTCAAGGGCGGCTACATCTCGGCTCCGAAGAAGAGCAATCACCCTACTGGGCCGGCCAAGGGTGCCCAGGGTGGATGCCCCGTGGCGCACGGCGGATGCCCTCGGGCTAAGCTATAATCTCCCTTTCTCTTCCTTCTCTTTCTCCCCCCTAATGTGTTAGAATCTTCTTTGTTGATACAGGATCGGACTAGACAAGATCACGTGTGCATGTATAGATTAGACGCATACAATACCATGTTTTGATTTTTCATTTGCTGCAAACAAAAATCGAGTCTTGTATTATCACAAAGAACCGAAAGAAGAGGATGTTCGAGTAGGATAGAAAGAAGACCTTTCAATACTAATATACCCGGGGAAAGGGGAGTAAATGCGGGGAAGCAGAGTATCCCTGCAGCCCGCACAGACAAACGGCATCAACGGCAACCTCCGCTTCGCTTGAATTCATAATTCATTGGTTATCGAGTGTTTTTATTACTCACAGCATTTTCCTTCATTATTATCATGGCTTTGGTCTGCTTATGGACGTTCCTCGGTCCGTTAGAGACGAGTCTCGCATGTTGGCAGTTGGCTTGGGTGCAGTGTAGCCACAGTATGCATGTACTACCTTTGTTGAAAATCCGCTACAGCAGTTAAAGACAAGAGATGAATTGTCTATTGACTATCATCGGCACAATGAAAACTCGATTACGAAACCCATGAACTCAACGTATGGCAAAATAAACAGATTGTTGACCTGACTCACACCGTCAATGGCAGAAATCGATCACAATGTAAGGAAACCGCAACAATCGAGCAAACTCCAAACCAAAGCGAAAACAGAACAAAGCAGAACCTCACCTGAATTCATCTCTACCTGAGCCTTGCGCTTCTTCTGGTCCCGACTCGTTCGGTCCGTTCAGCCCTTTTAGCCCGTGCCCTTTTTCTAGGGGGTGGTCCCATCGTGGTGTCCCCCGTGTCACCATTGTCACCATCGCTGTTGGTGCCGCTGGTGTCGGTGGTACCATTGCTTCCGCTGCCATTATTGTTGTCGCTATTGTCCTGTACTTCTTCGATGGCTCGCTTCGGCGAGACACGCATAAAAATTGGCTGCACGGCACCACACACCGCGAATCCCGCCATCATGTCCGGTGACGGCTGGCTTGTCTGCCCTCCTTGCTGAGTTCCCTGTTTCTCCGGGCTGTTCGACGCCGATGGGATCCAGAAGAATTGCTGCGTGGGCGAGATCGACATTGCGCTGGGGTCGCCGGTCGGCTGCATCATGACCGTATTTGTGAAGTTGGCGAAATTGGCGAAGCCGTTCTGCGGGCTGTTGCTTCTACGATTGAAACCGCTGAAAAGGCTAGCCGTATTCATCGGCTGGCTGATCTCGAAGGGGCTCACGCCTACAGGTTGCGCCGTTGCAAAAGTCGAGACAAACGGCCCGATGGTGGCTGGCGTCGCAGATGTGTATGTGGTGGGGGCCTGCGCGTATGCAGCCTGCTTCATTCCTGTTGGAACTGGCGATACTTGCATAGAAGATCGGACTGGTGGAGAAGCGGAGGGTAATCCGGGGCCGGACGAGTGGCTAGCCGAGCTGACGGAAGTCTGACTTCGCACAGTCTCACTTTGTCCGTCCGAATCGTCATCCTCTGCAAGTTTGAAGCGGTCTGCATTGGGCAAAATTCGGTCCCAGGGAGGTGACTGAGTGGGAACAGTAGGCTCGGCTCGGGTCCAGGGCGCATGCTCCTGGGCAACCAGTTTGCCCTCCATTTTCACCTTCATCATGTCAGACAACGAGTGATACGCAAGACTGAATACTTCCGGGTCCGGGTCCATGACTCGTTCATAAACCAGGAAAGGCACGGAGGTGTTTCTCCACCATTCTGGAGGTACTCTCTCATCCTTATGAGCCGGGGGGATATCCCCGATGATCAGGCCCGAGTTCATCGTGCTGTCATACATCTTGAGAAAGCCATTGTCGGTCTCCCCTCTCTTGGTGTCCGTCCAGAACACACGATACCGGTAATCCTTATAGTAGATACCCCCCAGCCAACGGTACGTGGCCTTTTGCAGCTGACCGTCGCCGTCGCAAAAGTCGAAGGTGATGTCCTTGGTGTGATTTTTGATTGAAACCTGCTCGTCGAGGCCCACCACCATGCGCAAGGGAAGAGTGTCAAACCTTCTCTCAATGGTCACAGATTGTGGTGCGTTGCATGTCACACAATCCGCATGAAGAAGAGGCGCGAACGGACGGGCCATCACCTCGTTCATGCACACCCCATGCATATCACCAGGATGCAGGTCTGGTGTCACGAAGGTTTTGGTATATGCCTGAACAGTGGCAGCCAGCCCGGTACACTGACAAGGCGCAACTGCTTCCCGGTACGTGAAATGGAACTGGTCAAAGTGCCCCGCGCAATCAGACCAGACAGTCCACAACGGGCTGAGCACTCCACTCAGGACGGCTGGTACGCGCTCCTGGATGAGATCCCAAAAGTGGTCTCTCATTTCTGTATTTTCGTCCAGAGAGAGAACATCCCAATTGACATCAGTGGCCTCGATAAAGGCTCGCTCCAGTTCACTAAAGCGGGTCTCCCATCCAGCCCTCTTACGATCAATAACCGTGGACCCAGCATCGAGCAATTTGCCCACAACAATCAAACTGTCGATGGTGCTCGAGTTGTTTTTCCAGACAGGGCCTCTGCCTCGGCAGGGATAGTCATTACCGGTGGGATCGATAATCGTTCTGGTGGGGTCCAGCGGGTCCAACGAGAGCCGCACTTGGGCATTGGCATGATGCAGTCCAACCATGGCTTTGGATATGTCTCCCTCATGCAGAGCAGTAAGATATGGCCGGGCGACGGTCTGTGCAGCGCTGGCGTCCCGCTCAAGCTCCAAGTAGGCGTATTTCATGACGACTTTTTCAACGTCCTCGATGATTGCTCGAGCCATGTGAGCAGGCACACGGACGACCGGAACAGGAGCGGGAGCAGGTATAAATACACCCGCTGGGTTAGCAGGGGCTATAAGGGGTGGGTTTGCGAACGGCCCAGGTGCTGCACCAACCACGGCCGTGGTCAGGTTGTTGTTTTGAAATGCAGCATTATTGCCATCACCACCAAGGTTTATCGTGCCCACCGCAGGCGGGCTTGACCCTGGTCCGTCTGCTTCGGCAATGTCCAAGTGACGGCTTGGCTTTTGCATTCGCTCAAGATAGATATCGGGAATATTCGCTGCAGCATTCACCGGTCTGACGAAGTCGGGCTGCGTGATGCCGTCCAGGGCCGGGGGGTCAGGGTAGTATCTGCTGATTGGCAGGAGAGAGGGATGGTCGATTTCACAAGACAAGAGTCGCGGGCCACCATCTTTCCCTTCAAAGTCGAGAAGATCTCTAAAAGATTGAGGTCGGTGGTAGTCTGCGGTGTAGTAAAAGATCTTCCACAGACCTTGCAGAATTCTCAAATTGGTTATCCGCGATGGCATCGCCATGTCGATTCCCCAGCTGTAAAATTCGAGCATAGCTACCATTTGCTCGCGTACGTATTTGCGCGTACGGAGGACAACGTCCGCAGACTCCCCAAGGAACTTCCAACTTGGAGGTGGGTCAGGCAGCTCGGCGAGTTTGAACATGGGGTGGCGAAGGGCAGGGTTCGGCCAGTTATGGCCATGCGAAGATTCGCCGGACGAATGCTCCGCCGGTGAGCTCATTTTGGTCGTAAGTAGAGCGGAACTGTTGAAGACGAACGATAATAACTGTATCAGGGCACGCGCAAGAATTGTAAAGAAACGAACAGGAGAGAGGGATGAAAAGATAGAGATTAGCACAAACAGAAGCAAGTCGAGGGGAAATCAGACGATTAAGTACGCAGCAGAGTTTCTCTTTCGAGACATATTGCCATTCATTCAGAGACTGAAGACAAAGCACTTGATCGCGACTTGATTGTGGACAAAAATAGACCAAAGACCAAGTCAGAGCTCGAAAGAGTGCAGTTCCTCGACAATGAAGACCAAATACTTGTCTAGCAAGCCATGGTAGCAGAGCTCTCCAGGTTTGATTCTTCAACAATTGAGCAGAAAGCAACCTCTTCTGAAAGTAAGCGTGCAGAACTGCCAGACGTCACGGCCAGTCAACAAGCGATGGGGGTAGAAGGATCGAGTCAAAGCAGTGTTTCAAATCATCACCCTGGTGATAGAGCCTCTTTGTCCCGGTTTCGAAGGTCTTGGATGTGTCTAGAACAGGCACTCCAGCAAACATCAACAAAGATCGGAGAACATGGGCTGTTGTAGCAATCAGTTCAACCCAGTGAGGTGAAAGATCGAGCAGCGAACATGCTACATGCTGATGAGTGTTAGTCATGATGGGAAAAAGCCTGCAACAGATGAGATTAGCGAAGACTAGCGCGGTACTATGAGATCGCAAGAGCATCTGCTGTTTCTATAAGGAATCTCACTGCTGTCGTGAGGTGACGCCTTGAAAACATCTTTGAGCTTAATGAACCAGATCGATTCACGTCTCACTAAGAAAAAATTTAGCAACAGAAACACACTGAAAGAAGTGAGTACATTATTCACAATCATTCAACAAGATCACAAAGATATAGCCACCATCTCCTCAATGGCAGCCAACCTGTGATCTTTGAAGCAAGACAAAGAGCACAAGAGCGACATGCAAAGTCACGTGCCAGAATCAATGGAGGAGATCAGGTAATTTATCCTTGTTTAGTTTAGCGCCCTGAACAAGCGAGCCCTTACGCCCACTTTACCCGATACGGCTAGACCACTGCTTACCCGATCCCACAACGGGAGCGAGCAAAGTCATTGAAGGCGCCCTCGATTTCACCTCTCCTTCATCCCTCTTGCTGTCGACAATCAATCGCGAGTCCCGTCGCGCCATCGCCCATCATGTGTACGTTCTTCCCATATTCCCGGACTCCCTTTGTTCGCAAGTTGCTATTCCTCGATGATGCGGTCGGAAAAAGTGGTTGCAAATGATGGAAATGAGACGAATTTCAAGGCCGTCAATGATGCTTCATCGGAAGCAATTTCGGAGAGGAAAAAAAATTCAGAAATGAAGGAGAACAAAAGGCTGACTTGATTTTTCTCTGTTTCTACAGCGCTCGTGTCCGGCGAGAAGACGAACTTCCAGTACATCTTGCGTCTGCTCAACACCAATGTTGACGGCAAGCAGAAGATCATGTACGCCTTGACCCAGATCAAGGGTGTCGGCCGCCGTTACTCCAACTTGGTCTGCAAGAAGGCCGATGTTGACCTGAGCAAGCGGTACGTTCAATCTATTTCTTTTTTTCCTACGGCATCTACAAGTCGGTGGTGTTGCATGGGGGAGACAAACGAGAGAGGGGAAGCAACAGAATGGCGTCGATTTGCAGAAATGATGGCAGCAGAAGTTGACTTGAATCACAGCGCTGGTGAGCTCACCGCCGAAGAACTCGAGCGTATCGTCACCATCCTCCAGAACCCCACCCAGTACAAGATCCCCAGCTGGTTCCTCAACAGACAGCGCGACATCACCGATGGCAAGGACTCCCAGGTTCTGTCCAACGGTCTGGACAGCAAGCTCCGTGAGGATCTTGAGCGCCTGAAGAAGATCCGCTCCCACCGTGGTCTGCGTCACTACTGGGGTCTCCGTGTCCGTGGTCAGCACACCAAGACTACCGGCCGCCGTGGACGCACCGTCGGTGTCAGCAAGAAGAAGGGCTAAACCATTACGGATGTTTTTGTTTTCCGCTGGAGTGGATTTGGTGGGACTATGTTGGTGTGTTTTTACGAATCCTCGTGGGACCCTGGACTTGATCTGGTGTTTATAAAAACGACACGGGGCCCAACAAAAGCGAAAGAAACCATACCAATATGAAATGAAACAGATCAAAATCACTCCCTTTCCTTTTCCGTTATGATTCTCGGCATATTTGGTGTTCTATGGACCTACGATATGGTAATGATTTCGCCGCACCGTTCCATTGTACTTCACGTAATTCCTTGAGTAGGCGGCCGGGTTGTAAGACTAGCAAACCGCAACTCAGATACTTCGTAATCTCTACCGATTCGGAGTAAAGCGGGCATCTAACTTCTATAAAGATAGTATATATATCGTCTTATCAACTTGAGAGCCATACATCCTGAGCATCACTCGTTTATAATAGAGTTGGGTTATACAATACCCGCAAAGACGACACTATCCAAAAAAGACTGCAATGTAATCAAAAAGCCAGCGTGTATTCGATATTGCAACGAAAAACCATCTCTAGAACCATTCGCCTCCAATCCAGCGGTTGAAGAATTCAAGACTAGCCTCGGGCTGGTCCATGGGCACCATGTGTCCACCACCGTAGAGACGCATGAAGGTGAAGTTGCCGTGAGACTTGATCTGGCCAATCTTCTTTCCCTTGTGCTCATTCTCCTCGATGACCAGGTCGTCCAATTCAAGAGATGCGTACTCCTTCTGTCCAGGCCACTCAAGAGCCTCAGTCCAGGCCTTGTTACCAAGCCAGTTGCAGATGAAGTCCGCGTCACCGGCGTAGATCAGGACAGGAATCTGCTCAAGAAGGCCAGGAACCAGACGGTGGTAGGGCTTCATCCAGTCACCGTGGAAGAGGAAGTTGCGGTTGATGTCAAAGTTGCAGGAGTCGTAGCCATCGACCTCGGCACCGACAGCTTCGCGGACCTCACGCTTGTTCAGGTACTCGCTAACATAGCCCATACCCTTGTAGCAGAGGTTGCTCGAGTCCTCACACTTGCCCCGAACATCATAGACGTTCTGGCCGGTTCTCTGGTAAGGACCGATGAGGGCGTTGTTGCAGTAGATCGAAGCAGGGACGCAAACCCAGGAGCTCTCTGTGTTGTAGCAAGATTCGATCATCGACTTGCAACGAGGCAGAGCGTTATCCATCGACTGGCAGCTGCCTTCGTCCAGAACAGCAGGATAACCGCCCTCACCGCAGGCCATGGGGCGGTAGTAGTCATACTGAGTCAAACCATCGGTGAGACCATTGCCAATGAGGACGGACTTCAGGTTGATGTTGCGCTTCTTGTGAGACAGAATCTCAGAGGCAAATACTGGGATGTAGTGACCAGCATACGACTCTCCAGCAATGTGGAAGTCCTGATCGGCATATTCCGGGAATTGCCTGAAGAAGAGGGTAAGGAGGGCGTAGACATCCTTGCCCGCAGCAACGGTGTCGCTAACAGCGGCGCCACTGTAAGAATAGCCGACATTGACGGGCTGGTCGAGGAAGATGACGGAGGCATTGGAGTTCCAGGCAAAGTCATTGTAAACGGGCCTGATCTTCTCGTTGATGCTACTAGGACCAAGCTCCAGGAACAGTCCAGTAAGGGAAGAACAGCCGGGGCCACCATTCAGCCACAGGACGACGGGGTCGTTCTTGGGGTCATTACGAGACTCGAAGAACCCTTTTAAAGTCAGTATCCAGCTATGCAGGATCAAGAAAATCAAAGTGGAACTTACAGTAGAACAGGTGCTTGTCATTCTCGTTATCGTCAAGATAACCAGTGTACTGCTTCACACCAGGATCGATACCGAGAGCACTAGGATCTGTCTTCTTGACCCTAAGATCATAGGCCTCCAGCTTGCCATCAACCTCCCGCTCCTTCTCGCCACTAGCACCGGTGACCCAGACACTCTGGACATCAGCACCACGGACGATGTGGTCCCAGTGGGAGTCAGGACGACGGTTGTGCTTCTTAGGCAGAGAGAAGACAGGGTTATGATCCATACTGTCAGGAAAGTGGCTGGCAACCTCATCCCACAGATGACGAGCCTCGTCAGACAGGGTCTTGAGCTGCTCTTGGAGGTCATGGAGAGGCTTGGCCAGTGTGTCGGCGCCCTTCTTGGGCAATCCGAGGATCTGCTGGAAGGGAGGAGCAGCCGCAGTGGC